AGCTTTACCTATTAGACTTCTACTTTGATGAAAACATATCTATATATCTCTCTCTCTCTCACATGAAGCATGCCACTGCATAGAAAGAAGAGAAATATGCACCACCATTCAACTTGCCTAGGAATCTTCAATAAGATTTATACACTTTGATAAGAGAATCATATAAGCTATATTCCCACTATAGATATATGTATGGCTTAAAAGAAAAATAAAACACTAAACAAATGATCTCTTCTTGTGGTGAAATATGAAGGATAGAGAATAAAAATTTACAATATCCTCACAAGAAACAAGAAATCTTCCTTTCATTCCCCAATCATCTTTTTTCAGCTTTTTACTTGTTTTTATGTAAACCTTCACCTGAAAGCCACTATTCTCTGCAACAGGTACTATTACACTCACTTACTCTCCCAATGCTTCTACAAAAGAAGCTAAAAATATCATTTACCCATGCATATATGTATCAACTCAAAATGGGAAAAACAACATAAGAATGTTGTGCCATAAAACAAAGAGAGAAATGATCCTATAATCATTAGCAGTCACATTTTTTGGGTCAAATAAGTCCAAGTTATGACCCAAAAGACACATGAATACATGATTATATGGATATAAGAGGACACCAAATCGTCTTGAATATAAGATCACTAGTTACAAGAGAGCTTTATTCTTCTATTTATCATGAAGGCTAGCTAATAGGACAGTAAACATTCAACTCGTTGTTATAGGGAATATATTAGTTTTCTATATAGGTCTTTCATAAGGATACTCCAAGTTCAAGGGATAGATCACATAAATGTGTACACATATGTGCATAAATGCTTAGTTACAAAGGAATTGTGGGACCAAACAGGAAAGTTATGAGAATAAACACAAACTCACAAACCGTTTCTTCCTCGTTGTCTTCGTTTGAGACAGGAAAAAAAGAAAGGAAATGAGCTTTGTTTATTAGCTTAGACCCAAAAGAGATCCAAAGGGAGACCAAAAATCATTTGAACACAAAAGTGTTTTAGAATGATAAGAGCCAAGGGAATATATGTGGTTGCTTCAGGCACACCCAATCAAAACCCTTTTCCTCCTTTAATAAAAATTAGCAAAACTTTGTTTGCCCTAACTAATCCAACCTCTACCACAAAAGAACCAACCATTTGCATAAACAAGTCTTTTCAAGAAAGTCATGTATATGACCAGAACAGTCGTCAAATGGGAATGCTTTAACAATGATCAGAGACCCCAGATGATTCTAAAGCGCTTGCGTTTACGAGAAGAACAGAATGTGAAATCAACCCGTCTCTCCATCCCACTTGCTAAAGTTTTTGCCAATGTAGACATCAGCTTTTGAAGAATTTAGCCTTTTATTACAAAACAACACATAATATTTTGCATCAGATTTTTAAAAAATTGCTTACAAGAATATTTGCTTGTTTCACACTAAAATTGAAACTAAAACTTGTAGGAAAAAACAAAAAAATTAGAAAATAAACACAACATTACGCGTTTATTAGATGAAAATTAAAGAAAGTTAAAGGTTTGTTTATGAGCTTAATCCCAAAAGACACACAATTAAAGGTGAGATCAAAATCATTTGGAATGCGAAAGTGTTTTGAACGAAAGAAAGCGAAGGAATATAGATGGTTTCTTCTGGCACACCCAATCAAAACTTTTTTTCTCCTGTAGTTAATCAAAACCAACTAACTTTGTTTGGCTCGACAGAAACATCCAGCCTCACGAAATAAAGAGAAGAAAGTCATTTGTGTAAACCAATCCTTTCAAGAAAGTGTGAGACCAGGAATAGGATGGTCAAAAATGTGAATACTTTAACCAAGACCAGACCCCAGATGATTCTAAAGCACTTATGTTAGCAAGAAAGATACATCGTAAATCTTAAGAGTCTCTTCATCTCACTTTATAAACGTTTGAGTTAATGTAATAATATCAGCTTTTGAAAGACTTTGGCCTTATACAAAATGTTTTGCACTAGAATCTTTAAAGAAAAAACCAAGGTATTAATTGCTTGTCTTGAGTTAAAGAAACTGGATTTGAATCGTGCATGAGTTTTAAAACGCATACGTGGTTTTGTGTGTCTTTCTGCATGACTTTTCCCAGTGGTTTCTATCAAATCAAACCCTTTTCCAGGCGTTTCATGGGAACACATACAATATAGAAGATTGCCTCAAGAATTCTATAAACAATATTTAAAAAAAGGCGTACTCTTATCACTAAATCAAGTATATATAGAAAAACAACATATGGGATTATCTACTCAAAAGGGACTCCAATTTTTTTTATTTTTTTAGCTCTCATTCAAAATAAGCATCTTTATTCTCCTGGGTGTGGCCATGTGGGATAAAAAAAAAAAGAAAGAATAGAGAAGTAGCAAAAGAGATATGGGAATAGTTTAAGGCATAATTTATCCTTTGGATGGCGCCTAACTTTAAGAAAGAAAGAGATAAACTTTAAAGATTAAAGGAGAGGGAATGGAGAAAAGTTGTCCTAATTTTGACATGACAGCCTTCTTAATCTAATGTTATGACATTTATTCACAACATCTTTCTTTATTCACATATATAATCTTTTTCTTTTCAAGCCTTGCTACACAACATTTCTCAGTTATCCCACAATCTAAAAGGAAAGGTTCGTTTTGTTTCAGATATATTTGCGTGTTCCTTAAAGATCTGAACTGTGGCATATACTCTTCATATATCTCACTTGTTCCCTACATTTTCCAAGGGTTTAAGCTAGCGCAAGTGTCATTATCATATCATATCATATCATATCATGGGATAAATATGTGAATCCATAATGTCGAAGAGATCTTAGCGTATGCAGTTAGAAGAATCCGATCACAAGAAACACTCCGAGTTTTTATGATACAGGACACCAACTATATATATGAAAAAACAAAATTAGTTAAAAACTACAAGGTTCTTCTGATCTTTAAGCAAAAATCTTAAATATGTGATGCTATAACAACGTAACTAAAAATATCAAGAAAAACAAATTCCTACAAGTCAAGTTCTGATGCACGTAATAAAAATCAAAACAAAATTCTTGATAATTTGCTAGATTCATGATGATTATCTTAAGTATTATCATTAATCTGAACACTGTGGATTCAGGCTCATATCGAGACAGCAACATTCGATTAAACCAAAGAGATAAACAGATACAATCTTATAATCCTGAATCAATCAAGAGGCATGAGCTCAAAACTAACCTAAATCGGATGTCAGAAAGAGGAACCCATGTTCGACCGTTTCGCTTGCATAATCCTCCACGCGCGTCTAGGTTTCGGCTTGTTTCGTGACGGGTCAAAAATAAAATGTTATGATCCTCTCTAGTTCCTAGACGAGACGAGCTAATTAAAAAAAATTGAAGCCCGTTTAAATTCACAGAAGGAATGAAGCCCACAAGTTAAGGCCCATTAGTAGTCCAGATAAAACTTTCTACCAACAGTTTGTTCTGTGGTTAACCACAAGTCCACAAGACCACAACAACAACACCTTGTTGTCACCTTCTGCGATTTTTTTTGTGATAAGAGTGGTTTCCTAGTGAGATAGAAAAATATCTATCAATATGTGCTGTAATATTAGTGACGTTATTTATGAAAAAAATGGTCATGGTCTGAAAGCTTGGACAATACTTACTTTCACTTTATCTTATATTTCTCAGGACCAAAAGTGTCAGATGAATGAGATCCATCCAGCTGCATTTTGGCTAAACAGTGTGTCCCACTCTTTTAGTCGGTCGGGTCGGGCGCAACTTAGTGCAACCATTACACTAAGGGGGTGTTATTCAACCTTGTAATTTAATTGATTTGGATATATTTCAAAATCTAGCGTTATTTAACGATGTATTTTAAAAACCACAATAAAATCTGCTGTTATTGGATTTAACATTTGTTGGATGTATTTTAAAGTATTTTAAAACAAGCGTTATTCAATTTTCAATGGATTTTGTTTTCTTTAAGATTTTAATGTATTTTACATCTAAAACACGTACAAACACAATCCTAACACTTTTCAAAGGATTTCATCTCTTTCATACCAAATCCATCTTAATTGTATTTAAAGGCTATTGAACTTTAAAATCCACCTGTAATTAAAATCCCTTAAAATTCTCAATCCAATAACACCCCCTAATTATTTGGTTTGAGAAGATTTGTAAACTGTATATAATTAAATGACATCCAGCTAACTCTATCTGCAAATCATTTTTGCTCAGCATTTTCTTAACTGATTCACATATAATACTAGTAGATTATATTTAAACTTATTGTTTGATGATTAGATTCCTAAAGTGTTACTGTTTTCTTAATCACATTGATTACTCAAGTTGACAATGAAAAAGAGGAGGTCACATTGATTACACTGACCAAACAAACATTACACTGATCGCGCGCGCCACCAAAATAAAATGAACCAATTGGAACTTCATTAGGTTTGGTGTTTTTTAAAAAAATATCTTAATCTAATGAACCTTTTTGTGAGCTGGCATGACAAAGAAGGTGCAATTTGCTTTAAATTTTATAACCAAGTATTTGACAAAACAAATAAAAAGATAACAAAAACTTATTTTGCTATTGCTTTATTTAATTGCCTCCTTTTTACAATTCTTTACATACGTTATGAATATATTCGAAGTTTCTTAATCCTATATTATTCGAACTGTATATAAACTCGAAAAGTCTACTTTTTCTTACTTTTGGATCTTTTAATACACGTGGATATGTACATTTACATGTTTTTGTTTTACATCAAAAAAAAAAAATCATCACAATTAGCGAATATATTAGTGGTGTGTTTGGTTATTTTTTTGATCATTATTGGACATCGACGTGTGTATCACTGTTATTACTTTATTAGCTTCCATCTCCTCATGTTAATAATAATGTCTACCTTCCACATTTTTTAATCAAATCCAAATTAATACGATAAATAAAATTTTTTTAAAAAACAGTTAAATTTTATTTCTTACTACAATTACATATTTCTTTCTCATGATTTATAAACATTTAAGATCCTCTTTTTTTCTTATTTCGTAAAACACAAAAAAAAAATCATAAAAATTGATCCTTGGTAAAAGTCAAATTTACCCTTGAATACTCAAGGGGTACACTTCTTCTTGGCGAACCCAAACCTGTCATTCTCCAAATCGTATTCAACCAAATAGTTCTGCTGCTGGAAACTCCCCAGTATTATCGCCGGACCTGTCCCGCCGGAGGGATTCACCGTGTTATCGGAAACCACCGTCAGGCAAACGGTCTCAGAGCTCCCGACGAACGAGAAGTAATTCGATATCGGCAGCTCCATCTTCGCTCCTCCTTTAAACTCGAAAATCAGCTCCGGCACCGATACATCTCCTTTCCCGGCGATATTAAAACACGGTCCGAGTCCGGTGAGCTTCTCCAAGTCTTTCTCGCGTGTGTAATTCGACATCTGCGCCGCGAATTCTTCGGCCACGAGAGTAAAAACGGGTCGCTCCATGAACGTGAATGTGGATCCGGAATCGACGATGGATCCTCCGTTACCGTTCTTCCCCGGCGCTAGGAACTTGTAGGGAACCTTCACGTGCTTGCTTCCGACGTAGATTCGCCGGAGGTTGAGGTAGTAGTACTCGAGAAACGCTGCGTTGGAGACATTGGGGTTTTTTCTAAACGGCGTGTAGCTAAGACCCGGAGTTTTCGAACCGGAGTTATGACCCGACCCGGTGTCGAGGTCGAGATCGGTGGTTACGTTGGTATTGTCGAACCGACGAGAAACCAAACAGTGAGAGAATCTTTTGAGTTTCATCTGAGAAGGAATCGATTCGGGTCCTCTCCCAAACCCGGCGATACCAGCGGGTTGTCGGGTCGAGATAATTGAGCATCCGACTACGAAATCGGGTACCTTTAGATCCGGGAAATCAAGCGTTTCGGTTAATAAAATCCCAGCCGTTGATCCTAATCCGTATTGGAGAATGTACGGCGGACAAGCGACGGTGCAATTCCGGGTATTCGGGTCACATCCTCTGCATTGAACATTGGCTCCGAATAGGAACTGGCATTTCGGATTCTGACACCCGATAACCCGGGAAGAGGAAGAGTTCTTGGGGATAAATCTAGGGATTTGGGTCGGATCCAAACCGGAGAAACTGCAGCCGGAGCAGAGGTACCTCGAGGTACAAGGGAACCAAACGAGACTGCTTCCGGTATCGAAAACGAACGGGATGGTTTGAGACGGCGTACCAAAGCTTAGTGAGACCGAGTAACCGCCGTAGCTTTTAGCGGAAAGAGGGGATTTCACGACGGTGGCGGAAGCTGTGGAGGCGGAGGAGAGAGCGTCGTCGTCGGGTTTAACAGAAGCGCCATGTTTGATCTTATGAGCTCTAGCGATTGAGGAATCGGCGAGACGGCGGAGTGAGAGGTAAGGATCTTTAGAAGGTAAGGCGCCGTCAGAGTGGGATAAGGAAGAGAGAGGTAATTTGACGGCGGAGACGACGGCAGAGAGGAAGAAGAAGAAGAAGAGAGGAGACGAAGACATTGTTGTGTTTGTGTTTGTGTTTTGGGGTTTGATGGCTTATGGGTTAAGTAAGTAAAGAAGGAGAAAGAAGAAGACAAAGAAGTGGAAAGTGGAGAATCATGTTCGATCTCTGTGACTTTCTTCTTCTTCTTCCTTTTTTTTTTTTTATTAGAACTTAATCAAGTTAATAATAAATGTGTCTTGTTTTTTTTATACGTGGAAACTTACTACAAAAAGTAATCTTTCTTATTATACGTGGAAATGTATTTTAGTACCGTCGACATGTATACATTAGATGATGATACAGAGCCAGCCAATACGTATTTGTATTCTTTAGAAAATGCCAATGCTATCGAATTTGTGGATGTATGTGTGTTAATTAATAATATTCCCTATTACAAAATACTGAAATCCAAATACTAATTATAGAACAAATAATAATAAGTTGCATGCATATATCGTTAAATTTTCTGTTTTTAAACTATACGAAATAAAAAAAGGAGAGAAAACAGTCACAATAGACGTACACTCTTTTTTTGTCAATTAATTGGGGTTTGATTGATAGGCCATGTGATCGCTCAAGTGGCACTAAACCCATTTACAAATCATGTGATGCATTATGCAGATCTTTTCTAACCAAATTTACACGTTGCTCTAATTGAATAGTTTTTGTTTGGGTTTTATTTAGGAATGAGGTCCAACTTTCTCACTTTAATTTAATTCATAAAGGAGGAAAAAAAAAATCAATAACTTTTGTCACCAAATTAACTAATTACGATATGTTTTTTTCCATATTTACGCAACTACATATCAAGTTCCAGAGTTTTTGTGATTCCTAATATACTCTTAAAGCTCTTGTTTTTCTTTCATTTTTTTTTTGCGTATAGACTGATATAAAAACTTTGAATAGAAAAATAAATCGTAACATGAAGTTGGACGTTATGAATCGATTGACCAAATAAAAGCACGTTGGATACAATAAGGTGTGAGTAATCGACCACATGCATATTTGTTGACCCTTATAAAACTATGTGACCTTACACTTTTATAAAGTAGCAAATAGTCTTAAACACACATAATTTGAAGGCTTTCTCAAACATGTGACTTATTATTAATGCACATAGTCACACGTAACCATATTGATTAAATGAGCAATCAAAGTCAAATAATTATATTTAATACACACACCCGAAAAAAAAAAAGGTTTTGGCAACTATATATGAACTTGAGACAAGTGATTTTGCGACTTAAACATAGTTGTAGACGAAAGCTTTCTTTTAATTAAATATTCCAGAAAACACAAATGTAAGCATAGAGTGTCAGAAGTAGAGTAAACAGGTCAAGCCAGATAATAACTAGTTTTCACAAATATGAAGGAACATGTACCAACACGGTAGAGTCAACTGAAAGGATTTTTTTTTTTTTTTTTTTTAACATCTTATTTACAAGTGGCTTGTGAATGGACCAGCAGGCAGCAACAATGGTACTATCAGTCTGGTAAAACTACCAAAACCAGAAACGCAGAAAGAAAAATATGGAAAAATTGGTTTTATCTCTAATTCCTCTACGAATAAGTTAAAGATGCGATAATGAAAAGTGATATTACTGATAATGGCTTTGTCGCTTTAGTCTTTACAAATGAGAAATTAAAGAGTGCATATATATTATATGCTCTTCCATTAAATCTTGATACTTTTATGAGAGTATATTCACACACAGATTAATGCTTCAAACAAAAAGTAGTGATGTAGGTTACATCTAGAAGATGGTGAGCGAGAGCTTTCCTAGTTAGACTCATCGATCCAATGATTTTTTCGGATGCGTTTGTTTAAAAGTTCTATTTTATTATTGTTTTGATTAGGAGTTATGTCATTTTAAGTAATCTTAAGTTATGTCTTTGGGATTACTGTTCTGTTGGATATATGGGTTTTTATTTCACAGTAAAACTATCTTGAGGGTTTTTTTCTAGCGTGCATGATATAAGAAGAATAAATAAATTAAAAGATACGTTTTCCTATCTTGAGTTTGGAATTTCTTTAAAATCAACCTCTTCGTCTTTGAGGAAACCTTTCATGTCTCAAGGAATTTTGAAGTTTCCGTCACGTAGTATATATTTTGATTGTTCTTTATATATATATATATATATATATATATATATTTAATTGTTTATAGTACGTATTTACTAACTAACGACAATACTCTTACCAAAAAAAAAAAAAACTAATGACAATACGTATAACGAAACTAATCCAAATGACTATTCTTTTACAGAATAGAATTCAAATGTTTTTGATTATGGTTTTTCTTCTGACCGGAGCATATATGATTATTTTTGATAATATAGTTTATATTATTCTATTATTGATCTTAAAGTAAATAGAAGCAAACGGTGTTCATATATACTATAAGGTAGTGAGCTATTTTCTTTTAGTATTCTAACAAAACACCATCTATCATATAACTAACTTTTAATAATGGATTCCAAGTATTAGTTTCACATAGAATATGATTCAATCAAATAGAGAAATGTAAGAATAGTTGAAAAGGGAAGAAAGATTTGAGAACTATCACGGGAAAGAAATATCAAATGCATGGAACGAAAGGGACAAAAACAAAATATAATAAGAACAAAAGATTTCAGAGAAACGATTATAAATGTTTATGTCCGTGGAAAAATTAGGGAAGCACGTGAATTAACTTAACACGGAGGTACATTGGTGGTGGGACAAGCGGTGGTGCCGTGGTGGTCTACTATATGCCTTGTTGTATGTATCACATGGTGACGTCACCTCCAAGTCTAAAAGTTATAAAGATAAAATTCTATCTTCGTACGTAAGAAAACGATTAAAGTGCCTAATTATACGTATACTGTTGATCATGTATTAATAATATAAGTAATTTTGACTACATTTGAAGTCTTGGAAGTCGAAAAGTTTGTTCTCTAAGTAGTACTCATTCCCTGTCTTAAACTTATTTTCTAGAAGCTGTGATAGAATAGCTTGATTTCGTGTTAGAATTAATGATTATGAGTATGGGAAGTTGAGACAAATGAATTAGAGTAGTGTTAACCAGAGTCCAGAACAATCTTGTTAACGTTGCAGAACCAAGTTCATCATTGGGTTGATAAGGTAGTGACTACTGACTAATATATGTGTGTTACTTGGTACATAATACATTTGAAGTTTACAGTAATGCGATTGTATTCAGTTCCAACTTTTTTCTTTTGTTTAGAGGCTAGAGTCACTCTAGTTCTATTTCGTAATCTTGAATTTGTTTTCTGTCTTTTTGTATTTTTATTGTTAGTTTTGGATTATATTCGCTTTGTTGTCGCTAATTTAATAACATACAAATGGCTTTCGTTCGTTACTGATTTGACGACAATATTATATTTGGTGATAACATCATAATCAATATATTTACTTTAAGATCAATAATAGAATGATAAAAACATGTAACTCAATGTTATATAATAGTGTTATCGTTGCACTCGAATTTACACATTGTTGAAAAAACAAACAAACGTTTTTCTCTAGTAGTAAAAAAAAAACAAACAAATTGTATTACATTTGGCTTATCGGTTATTATTGTTATCGGTCGTCACTGATATCCCTGACTACAAAACAAAATATTGATTAGATAACTTAAATGTTGGTACAAAATTTTCCTTTTGTAAACATAGATTGGATGCTGCTCCATTGAATTATCGCTTATGGGCTTTAATTTGGACGTTACAATACTTGATGAAACTATGGGCCTTAATTTAGACATTACAAATGTTCCATAAGTCATAAAAGTGTTGAGAGCATTAAAAATGTATAAAAGTGATGAATCTGCAGATTATAAAAAAATAAAAAATATAACTCACAAATTTTTTATCATTGTTTACTTTACATATCTACTCGCTGGTAATCTCTAGTGAATCATCATCTAAAGCTATTTTTCAATTACAGTGATTATAATGATGTTCTCTTGACATGTCGTGGTCTTATAAATTAGATAGGACCAGATTCGTTTGTTTTGGCTCAATCATGAAATAAAAATGGGACTTTGGATATTATTGATTGTAGGGCAAAATGGTCGAAGCAACATGTGCGAGCATTCTCGTTAGAATGAACTCGAGCGGATGCAACGTCTAACGAACGTCAAAAATATTAATCGAGAGGGTGACTTCTATTTGACAAAGTGATAATGAATAGAAAAGTGACCAATGAGACATGATTCATGTGAAATGGGGCCAAAGCAGCTCCCCTATTTGACCCTTTTCTTGTGATGACTTTATTCAACCCTTTCCGTGATCTATGTGCCGTCAAAATCGTCTTCGTTTAGGAAGACTTATTCAAACTGCAACCTGGTTTTATGTACTTTTAGAGAAAAATATTACATAGTGCTTGTAATGGAATGAATTAGCTTTACATTACATTGCATTTGTGTCCTATGCATTTTTAAAACGTAAAACACAAAACAGAGAAAAGTAATCAATTTTGTACCAAAAGGCAGACACACTAGTTGATTAAAAATCAAATATGATCGTTGTTTTGCTTTGAATAATAGATAGTAATCGTGACTGGAGCGTTCAGCTGCCAACCATCTAGCTTTGCTACTTTAGCTACATACATACATCTCTCCTTTTCAATTTATCCAAAAATTTGGTTTGATAAATATATTTCTAATTCTAAAAAGCAAAAATATAATGTCCCAATGTTAAATATTATATCAATACGCTATACCTTTTTTGACTTTTAAAATGAAAGAAAAAATAACGTGATGATTGATCATGATATTGATATATATATATATATATATATATAAACTTGTTAGCTCATATCCAAATTATACTTCCAAACCTTATCACTGTCTCTTTTTGTCTCAAAAAAAATGGAGTCTGAGAATTTGATGAATCTATCTCTTCTCCAACGCAGAAACGTTTCACAAACCCTAGACTTAGAGCTCGTCTCCGCTATCAACAAATCCTCAGATGATCCTCTCCCATATTACACCTCCCTCAAAGACATCCTCCCTTCCTCTTCTGCCACCGTCGATTCTCCTGCCGTCTCCTTTGCCGTCACCTCTGCTGCGTCAGGTCAAACCATAAGGATCCGCAATCGCCTTGTGAAGCAAGCCGCTTGTGCTTACCTTCAGCCTTCTACTCCAACTCCATCCTCCAACCCTTCATTCCTCCACCGTGTCTCCTCCTCTCTCATCCGTCTCTTCTCTGCCTTCTTTGATTCGCTCCTCCGCATCTTCCCATCTCCTCGAAAAATCTTTAGAGCTTAGTGATTGAAATAGAACAGAGAGAATTATAATCAATTCTTGCATAATAATCTTTGTTTTTTTTTTTTATTATGATTCAATATATTTTTTTCTATCATCTTAAAATAAATCGTGAAGGTTTTTGAGGTTCACGGTTACCTAAGACGCCTTAACTTGGGCCCTGGAAGTGGCGCGAGACAATTCGCCCGTTCGGTTTTTCTCAAGAAGAATGATGTCAAGAGTCAAAACTTGTCAAACGGTAAATAAAGGAAGGCGCCGCTGATGTATTTGTTACGTGTAACATTTGTTTGTTTGTAATCAAAAGTTAAGAAAAACATGTTACGTAATTTAAGGACTTTGACACCTATATCCAAACTATTTAAATGTTTTACTATATATTAAAAATAGTTGATTTTACTTCCCATGAATTCTTATGAAAAGAGACCACGACTATATATATATAGTGAAGACATCCTTTCTTCCTCCTCTACTATGCAAAACTAGATCGTCGAGAAGTAGATAGATATAACTTAGGTCTCCAAATACATAATGCTCTCGATATCATCCTCCCAATAAGTCGTTTGGGATCCCTTCTTTACTCCCAAAAACATAATACGTAATGATGATGGAATTACTTCAAGGATTCTTGTTATTTTGTTCGTCTCCATATCATAAATGACATAACGTGACGGTTCACCCGCCATGAGATTTGCCTTTCCCAGCCTGAGCTCACCGCAACGACTTGTGCCTTGCATCACCACCTGATCATCATGGGCAAAATTCATTTGGGATAAGGGCAAGACCAAAGTAATTTTTGACCACTTATTCTTCTTCACATCCTCCATAACCCACGGGTATACACTCAGGAAAGTTTAGAGTATTCTAAAACAGCAAATTTGCTTTTGTAGTTGACGAGGGTTGCACGATATGCGTGCCAGATGATCCTCGCCTCTACAGGTAACTCAATCAAATTGAACTCTTCAAAAGCCAAGTCAAAACTCATGAGCACACATCTATTTGCATGAGTCCAAGCTCCATAATACAACACACCGTTGATGGGGATACCTTGTGAGAAAGGAAGATGAGGAGGAGGAGGAACGGTGCTATAAGTGTTTCTCCAATAAGCTCCAGGACCAAGTACCAAAACCTGATGCTCGGATCTCAGCATTCCATCTCCCTTGTTCACCTCCCAAACTGTGCTAAGCACTTTGTATTCATCATAAACAGAGTCGTATCCAAAATAGTTCCAAATACTGTCATTAGGATCATCATAAGCCAAAAGTGTTGGTCTCATAATGGGCAAAGTCACGCGCTGCTTGGTGGTGAGGTTCAAGATTCGCACCCTTCTCTCAAGTCTTACACAGAGCAAGCCACGCGGAGAGGATGAGAGAAACGCAGACTGGCTCGGGTCTGCCTTGTCGACAATAGACATAATGAGCAAAAACGTTGTTGCTTTGCCGATGATTCAAGGAAAAGGTTGATAAAAACAGGGGAGGAGATAACAGAGTACCAGAGTTATGAGACGCACATTGACCTAGTCACCTGCTTCGCCGGTAATCTCGCCAGGATATCCATCAACAGATCCTCAGTGAGGTTTTCAAAGCCGCAGGGTTTCGAATTCGTGACTCTTTTAATCTTTCTGGTTCTTTCTAATTCATCAGCCGTCGACCTTATCTTCTTCTTCTTCTTCGTCAGTGCTTTCACGGCGGCAAGACGATGAGAAAATCTCATTGCTTCTCCTTTCACGGCGGTATTCCAAAGTCCGACCAGACGTAATTACTTTCTATGTAAAAGCACTCATTTATCCTAACTAAATAGGAAATATGAAATAAGAAAGTTAATTGTATCATGCTTTCCTTTTCTATTTGTTGACATCTCCATGGTTTCCTTTTATCTTTAGGTATAATAACATTTTTTTGTTTGTTATTTAAAGTTATAAAAAAAACATGTCATAATTTAAGGACTTTATTAGAATGAATGGATGTTTTAGGAAATCCAAAGAATATTGGAGGTGACACACCTATTGTTAAAATATTTTAGCTGTTTTATATTAAAAACTAGAAAGTTGCCCACGCGATGCGTGGGTTATACATGAAATATTAATTAAAAATTATATTAAGTTATATATGTGTATAAGTGTTAATATATGTTTTGAAAATAATTTTAAAACAAAATAATATGTTTATATTCATTATGTGTATTACAAAATAATATTAATTTTTATGTTTAAAACAAAATAATTAACGCAAAACATAATTGAACGCGATCGCAAAATTAGTATAAAACATATTTTGTCTACATTTTAAACATTAAAAATAAACGAAAAGTATATTTGGAAAATATAGAACTGAATGAGATCTAAACAAAGTAATACAAAATTATGAGCATTTGTTACTCACCTTATATTTTATCATAACCTAAAAGTAACTTAAATTTTAAAAATGATCAGGTTAAACTTTTCAAAATATCAAATTAAAAGATTTCATTTTAAACATATGATATATTGTTTTAAACTTTATTTAGAAAAGATTTTTCAATTTAGATTATAAAAGCATTTAAACTATAGTTATGTAAAAACTAAAAAGAGAGATCATAAGCCAAATAAACAGAAGAAGATTACATGAGAAGAACAACTTTGATATTTTTATATTCTATTTGATTGTAAAGGAAGCTGACATAGGAGGTAGATGAGAATATATATATATATATATAGACTTTTTAATGTAGCATTATTTTATTTTTAAAATTACTACTAATTTTTTTTAAAACAAATATGCATGAAGATTTACATTACTATAAAAGCTAAATAAATGAATCCATACAAAAATAGCATAACATGTTTACATCAAAATTAACAGAGAAGATGAACAACGACATCTATCTATTATATGTACATGATGGCGAATTTTTAGGTTTTTGCCCTTTTCATTTGATACAAATAAAATTTTAACTCTACTTACTATTATTATTTTATTTATAAATATAAATTACCAAATAGAAAGAAAATCTAATCAATTTATAAAATTTTAAAGAAAATGTAAATACAAAAATAAATTATTAAAAAATGTACATGACGATATCTATCTATTATATGTACACGACAACAATACTAACTACACGACAACAATACTAACTATATGTTCGGTCTCTTTAGAAAAATAACTTGGGTAGGTATTTGTATTATGAGGGAATTTCAAAAATACCCCTTTTCATATACCTCTTTTTAAAAATATCCCATTTTCAAACTTTATTTAAAAACCCACTAAAAATGTTCAATATTTATCCAAATATGTGTGTAAGCTTATAAATATATACACAAATTACCTTTATATGTGTATAAAATTTTATATACCTTTCATAAATAGCGTAAAAATAAATTATAAAAACCTCATAAAAACCGTATAAACCCTTTCAAAAACCTTTTAAAAACCTTATAAAACTTATAAAAATGATTTAAAACTATTTAAAACATTTTAAAATATTTGTATCGAATCTCCCAGTAGTAGTTATTATATAGAAGTACCTTATAAACTATATAAAACTTTATAATTTTTTATATTTAAAAAGGGGTATTTTTGAAAATGGATAGATAAAGGGGGTATTTTTAAAAAGGGGTACACCAAAAGGGGTACACCAAAAGGTGTATTTCTCAAAAAATCTTTTGTATTATTATGAATATAAAAATTATTATTTATTTTAGCAAATGAGGTTAAGTTACTAAGAGTGTAGATTGGGGTATGATATTATTGTGTAATTAATACGTTATTAATTATCATAATTATCATAATTAATATGTTATTATTTATCATAATTTAATTAATGAATTAAATTAAATATAACTTTCATAAAATGTATGATCTTTAAAAGAAAAAATTTATGTACCATTTTTTTTGTAAGCAAGTATATATATTTTTTTAACACTTTGACTGCAAATTTTAAATAAATACAATATAATAATATTTTTATATAATAGTCTATTTGATCACAAAAACTAAATATAATGACAGATATATTAAAATGAATTACAAAAAATATTTGAGATTAAAAAATAAGAAAACATTATTTGATAAATGTTGTAAATCGAAATTTTTATTTATATAGCAATCAAAACTGTTATATTACATATGTGTTGTATCAAATTTTCTTGATTCATAAGTATGGAAATATAAGTATAATATAAGTATTTTCTTGATTGTGCGAGGTAATTCTAATTTATTGTGTGTTGAATAAAATTGAGTAGAAAAATATAACTAATGCATATTTATATTATTTCAGTTTTTATATTAAAGTGTGAGTTAAGAATTATTTGAATAAGAAAGAGGTAATAATATATTATTTTGGAAATTGTGTTACAATAAAATATTTAATTAGATATTTCATAATCAAAAAAGAAAATGCATATAAAAAAATGGATCTTTATAACTTAATTCTCTTGTTGTACGATGAGTGGAACTAATATAAGATACTATGTTAGATTTGTATCATACTTTCTAAAGATATTTATATCAAATTCTTAAAATGATTATTTCATTGATTTTTTATGTCACATAAGAACATAAAAAATAGAAAAAAAATATTAAAGATACATGAATATAATGGAGGAGAGGGAGTGAATGTACTTATATGTTGATAATCAAAAATAGAAAATAGAGATGAATTTTCAAGAAAAAAAAGGGATAAATTATAATAATGTAAGATGTATATCAATATATCATATAGTCTCTAAAAGTTTCTACAGTTGAAATTTTATATAATAATTTTTTTTTTCAAAACTCATACAACAAAAATAAACAAAGCAAACAAATTTCATAAAGAAGAGAATGAGAGAATGATATAATGAGAAAATGAGTATATATAGGAAGATAAGTGATGGGAGTTACAATTTCATAAAACAATTATGGGAGTCAATTATAATTGACTGTGTATTGTAAAAAATTGAATGGAAAATATAGTTAATGCAAATTTATGTTATTTCAGTTTTTATATTAAAGTGTGAGTTTAATATATATGATTAAATGTTTTTTGTGGTTTCTTTGTTTTTTTTCAGTTTTATATTAAAGTGTGAATCAAATATATAATATTTTAAAAAGTTACATGCCAAGTGGACCAATAAGAAGCTGATTTGTGAATAATATGATAGTTATTCTTTGATTTAAATTCATTATATTATTTTCTCAACTGTTTGATAATAGAAAATCAAATAATATTTGTTTGATAATCTCTTCAATTCTTCTCTTATAAATTTAATTTTAAAAATTAGAAATTATGTTATAAATAATTTATTACCCATATTAATAACTTTAAAAATGTATCTTTAAAGAAGTAGGAAAAAAAAACTTTAAAAATTTATCTTTAAAGGAGTAGGAAAAAAATTCATAGCAATTTTCTTTGAATAAAAAATTATAACAACTCCATTTTATGTTTAGCTTATATGATATTTAATTTAATTAGAAACTAAAATTAGGAAAAACATATTTTTGTAACAATGACACTTTTTAAAAAGCAACACCATACATATAACATATAACTTACATCACAATATCATAAAAAAAAAAATTTTAAAATGTGAGATTATAAATTAATAAAAATGACACATGTCAGAAGTATAGAGCGACACATGTCGCGTTGTGAGGCAAATTTAAGAAGAAACCTTGTCTTATTATATAAGATAGTTGATTACTGACGGTACATTTTTCAGAGCAAACATTTTTTTTCGAATTTCTTAAAAGATAAACTGAAAAAAATAATACGAGCTAGGTGTTACGGGCCTATCATAGCCTTAATACTAAAGTCCATAAACTCGACTATTCGAAAAAAGAAAAAATGTGTTAGTAATAAAATAAATAATAATGGATATTGTAAAGTGGGTTTGAATTTCTCTAGCTTACTCGACGAGCCAACTAGTTTGCTAGTTTCAAGCCCATGTATAATAATAATGCTCAATTGTCAATTCGAGTCATATCATTATCAATGCAATGGTTTGGTTGGTTCATTTGGATCTCAAATCCATATTCAACCCAAGCTAATTCTTGGAGTTAATAAATTCCGAGAGAGATGATTTGTCCCACAACAACAATCTCATCACACCATCAACTAACAAATTATGGACTTGAAACTATTCCATTAGGTGGTTTGTTACCCTCTTTTTATTTTGGTTGACATTAAGTTTGTGTGTTAAACGCACAAGCAACAGAAATTCCAAAGAGAAAGAAACTATGTATATTGGCGGCAACTAATTAGTTAGAAATACTAATACATTCAAATTTCAGGCTATAAAAAAAAAACAAAATATGCATATGGTCCAATAGGATCAGTGATAACAAAAATATCTTTCAAAGCAAAAAGCAAAGTAATGTAGATGCATTAAATAACTCTATGTTTTTGGTTATCAACTTAGAGTTTGTGATGCTTTAAGAGTTTATTTATTAACCCTTTTCAATTTTCATGACCACATGCACACATTTATACATATCCACTCTATATATATAACAAAATCTACCCCTCCCTCCTTAATAGTAGTATACACTATCTCTTCTCTCTCTCTCTCTCTCTTAGTCTTTAGCAGAAACAGAGTCAGAGTCAGAGCAATGGCGGCGAAAAGCAAGAAGAAGACGATCTTGAAGACTGTCTCCATTGTCGACATCAGCTGCGGCAACTGTATCAAACCAACCTTCGCCTCTATTCTCAACCTTTTCTCCAAAAAGCCCAAACCTCCCAGCTCCTCTACTTACCACCGTCACTGCCATTCATCAACCATCTCCTCAGCCACACCTTCCTCCACGCCTTTGGCCACCGCTGCCGTCGCCGTCGAGAAAGATTCTGACGACCCTTACCTGGATTTCCGGCAGTCTATGCTTCAGATGATACTAGAGAACCAGATTTATACGAAAGATGAACTCAGGGAGCTTCTTCAGTGTTTCCTCAGTATCAACTCGCACAATCATCACGGCATCATCGTCCGTGCCTTCTCCGAGATATGGGAAGACGTTTACTCCGCCGCCGCTTCCGTCGTCCAAGCGTCTCCTCTCGTCACCCGCCACGTGTCACGTGATTACTATAATAACTATTACTAGCTAGGCTAGTTAATAAAAATGAATAGCTAGTCTATATCAATCTATGATCTATCTTTGTATTTATGTTTGTTAGGGAAGTAGTAAAGGTTAACGTGATCGTTATAACTCTTTTTAATTAAGATCATGTCACGTCATCATCATATTGACACGTTTGAAAACGTGTAATATTGTGATTACGTATGCTTGCTCCAATGTTCGTCTTGCTCCAATGTTCGTCTTAATACTAATGTAACCGTGGACTTAAATTATTTTAATCCAATTAAGTGATAAGTTTGTTGCTCTTACATGTTTATATGGGTTTGTTAAAAAAAAAAAAACATGTTTATATATATGTTTTGTTGCTCTTACTGGCTGTTGCTTCAATTGCTTTACCATAGGGCCGGTCCTGCTCTTACATGTTTATATGTTTTGTTGCCTAGTTATATAATCAGCCAAAATCGAATTGGGATAAATGTTTTCGTCACTCGTGACTCTCTCGGATACTGACGTGTATATTAGAGAATACACGTTAAACTAGTATTTATTTATCATGAAGGTACGATGTCTGCAAATTTTTCTGATCCTTAACTATCTCTTTGTCCCCAAAAAAGATCTGGCGACGTAGAATCATGATCAACGTTGTTAACGTAGGAAACAGTTGACGATATGAGATATAAAAGACCTTATAGCCCCAATTAACCAAGAAAATTATAGCCGGTTCACAAAAGGATTATATATGATTCTTGTATTAAAAAAATCAAAATGAATAAGAGTACGGTGACAATAATAACATGCATGTCCAAGGACGTATGTAATTATTTGTATGGCAGAGCTCTTTGACTCTGGAGCTTGAGCGTGGAGTGGACAATGAGGCACGTAGAAAACTTGTGGCTTTGGGCGATAATAATGCATGGCTCTAAAGAACACAAATTAAAGATTCGCAATAATTAGAAAGAGAGAAGTATAATAATAATACTGATACATTACTACACGAGTTTTTTTTCACACACAGATGCATATATATACTGTATACATATGTAAATTTTTATGATTACTGTATTGCATATTATGGCATAGAGATATGATGCTAGTATCGGACTTGTAATCATGATTTTTTTGTCAAGTTGACCACTAAGTTCCAAACTTGCAATGGACATTTTTATGACATCAAGTGTGATAAAAAAGGACCAACATTTCCCCTCAAAATTCACCGTACGAATTTAGTGAGTTATTTTTTTACTCACTCAACAGTACAAAAGCTAGACGAACTGTTAAAAAATGTAGTCGTTAAGATTAAGAAGACGACCGACGTTGGTCCAAAAGACATCTAAACTCAGAACATTACTTATCTGTATTAACCCATATTTTCTTAAAATATATAAACCAAAATCAACCAAAGCATGAACTTTTAAAAGCTACTTAAAATTTTTAAAATGTAGGAAAGTGTTTGGGCTAGACAGCTCTGTATTGTATTCCATGCAGTTTTACTGATGAGCAAATATTATTTTTTATATTTTGGATATTTTCATTTTCTAAACAGTTTAAAAACTTTGAAAAGGACAAATATTGATTCAATAATAGGTAGGGACTGTTTATTTTTGTAGGGACTGTTTAATTTTGTAGGGTTGGGATCTTGTAATGCTAGTTTCCAGGGTTTGAATGTTTGCACATTTTCGGATTTTTGAAACAAACAAAAAAAAAATCCTAAAAGATTGAAGGTTAGTAATTAAAAATTACATAAGCCAAATTATCTGTGGACGTTGGAAATTAAAATTGTATTAGCAGATTTTGATTAATACTACTGTATTACCTTAGTTTGTTATACCTTTGGGGAAGAAAAAACGTTTAATTATTCATTTATGATTCACGTTCTTGGAAAACCCCAAATTACGAACATCATTATTTCAAATTAACTTAAGAAAATAGCAATGACATCAACAAATGATCATGCTACTATTTATGATCATAAATACAAATCTCATATCAATGGTGAAACTGTACGTAATCAATGAGCTAGCTATTTATATATAACCCAACTACCCAAAACTAACAATGCTATATATCGTCATCAATAAAGTCAAGTAAATCTCAGATTAGGATTTACCAATAACAAGAGTCATTAATAATGAGTTCATAAATTGTGATAGTTACCTGTAAAGAGATAGCTAGTAACTGAAATTTAATAAATTTAAAATAGTAGCAATCTCATAAAGGCTTCTTCACCAAAGCTTCTTGAATTTAACCACTTACTCTTTTACTCTTTCAGTTTTAAATGATTAAGTTAAATATTTTACATGAATGTTGTCACACTAGCTCGGTCTCAATAACGAGATGAGTAAAGTAGACGAACTATGGATATAACATAAGAAGTGACAATGGACTAATTTGGATTGGCGCTTTCTAACATTAACCAAATTAAGAAACGAATTTGGTTTCACACAGTAATGACCAAGGTATATTTTCAATAGAACTTATCTACTATAATTTATATGATTAAAATTATGTCCAACAGTTAAGATAAGTTGTACACCGTTGTCGAAGTGAACCAACAGTTTCCCCCAAAATTTCTATGATGTCCCCACATATTTCATGTTTTTTACACCCATCATTACGAAAGCGAGAAAAACTGTAGAAAAATGTAATCGTTGAGAAACTTGGAAAGACCATTGACGTTGGTACAATGTGTGTCGTGTGATGCTCTAATTTGAAGATGAAATATTACCATTTGTTTTCTTCATGGCCATCTATTTGAATCTTAGTTCTATATAGTTTATTTTCCTGAATCAAAACTAAGAGCAACATTATAGGTAGTATGTTAATTAGGGTATCTTACATTAATTTAGTATTAAATTTGAAAAATTAGAATTCAAGAGTTTTAATTTTGTTTTTAGTTTTGATAAGTGTTTATTGGTACGATCTTAAGTTGGGTATCTTAGAAAAAAATTATTTTTTTAAAAAATTAAATAAATTTATAATTTGTAATTTAAGAAAATATTATAATTATTGCAAATTTAGAATTTGAAAACATACAAAAGAGAGAAATTATAAGACAGAAATTATAACATAAAGTACAGTAAATTTAAACTTGATTGCGAGAAAATTTAGAGTGCTCGACCAAATCGTTCTTCAATTATTCATGCTTACCTCGATCTCGAAGTCGAGTTCTAGCGGCCATCAGATTGATGAGATTTGAAGGCATATTTGTATCATACGAGAAATCCATTCGTGTACTTCCGGCAGTTTTCGCTTGTTGAAAATCAGTGACATCAAACTGAGTATACATATCTCGTTCATCTTCATCTAAGTAAAATTTGTTTCTCCCACTAAATATTTATCATCTTAGTTAATCAGACTTTATAAAAAAAAAAATAAAAAAAAAAAATCAATCAATCAGAGTCTGCCACGTAAGCGTCTCTTAACACACCAATGGTATCTTCTCCAACATACTCCAACATAGGTATCTTAATATTTATTATGTTTTTTGATTAAAATTTAAATACTATTAATAATAAGAGACAAATTAAATCCTGTTGATAATGTTGGTCTAACCATAACTTAACTCATAGCTATTTGGCTGTTTTGGTTTTTATTTTGCCAAGAATTTTTCTTAAAAGAAACCTAAATCAATGCATGTATGACCTTCTCAATTTCCTTAAGTATATAAGAACTGTTTGGGCTAATAATAGATGGTTCTGTATTCCATATAATTTTACTGTTGAAGACTAAAATATATAATACTGACCTAATTACAGTACTTTACCTAATATGGACGCTGAATGACCAATAATAGGTAGGGACTGTTTGATTTTGCATGGTTGGGACCATCATGTTATGCTTATATATAGAGTTTGAAGAATTGAGCACTTTGAATATAATCTTTTTGAACACTGAAAATTTCAACCATGATAGATTTCCAAAACCGACGATATGTTGGAGGCTTGTAGCTTTCGATCTAATGAAATTGTTTACATCTTTTGCAATTATATGTGTTATTTCTATTTTTGTAGACTTAACATTTTATAGGCGCTTACAGTTACATGTCTGTAAACTCTTAGTTTGTAACATTATTATGATCCACATCGATTAAAATAAGGTGTTATCAACAAAAATATAATTAAATTATTCAATAATTCCCAAAAAGTTAAGTGTTATCACAAACCCAAAAAAAAAAAAAAAAAACTAGGAAAATAGTTTAATGATAACTGAAAACTAGGACAGTTTTTTTGGGAGAAAAAAAATCTGAAACAACTGAAAAAAAATAAATCTGCCTGACATTCTAGCAAATTTGTCATACATTACAAAAGTCTGTTGTGTTTTCATTAATAAGTCTGTCGTAAAAAATAAATATGTCGCTAATATTAAATCTGTCATAACTGTATTTAAACAAATCTGTCGTCCAAAATAAATTTGTCATAAAAAATCTGTCATTCAAAAATAATCGGTCGTAGACAAATAAATCTGTCACAATATGTCCGACAGATTTTTCAATTTTTAAAAAAAATCCAAAAAAATCGCTGGATTTTTTTTCAAAGGTAAAATTGACTTCTTTTTTTTCCCTAACAAAGTAAAAAAAATGTATTTTGTCATGAAAAGTACTCAACTAACCCAAATATTCTATAAGTTAGTTTAGTAATTAATCTCTTTATTTGGGGTTAATCTAGTTTTTTTCCCAAATAAATAAGGATTTATTTTTTGGAATTATCTCGTGAATATAAAATTAAGTAAAAGAAGTAGAAAACTAAATATTTATTCCTACACAAACTTGGAAAGAAACGTGTGTTATAAGAAAGAAACAAATAAGTGCTTAAAATTGGCCCTAAGAAAAAAAAAAAAAAAAGCAAACTCTGGAAGTGATCTGAAAGCATGAGGTTTTCGTTTCGTCTAGCCACGGGGAAAAGAGAGAGAAAGAAAATCAGAACCGTCGTGAAGCCAGAAGAATTGAAGACATCAATCCCAGAGAATGTCATGTTGTTGGAGATCCTGCCGAGATTACCGGCGAAATCACTGATGAGATTCAAGTGCGTGTCAAAGCTCTGGTGTTCCTTCATCTCCTCCCGATATCTTACCAATCTTTTCCTTAAATCTCCATATTCTGCGCAAGGAAGGCGCGTGTTCATGTCTTTTGTGGACAGGGAAGAGCCGTACTTCAAGTATGCGTTGGTCTCATCATCTCATGGCTCTGTCCCTGTCATATCGCCTTATGACTCTGTCCCTGTCTCTAATCTCGACCAAGATCTGGACATGCATGGAATAGAAGGCTTCTTCGTGAACGCCCTTCGCGGGTTGGTGTGTTTTAGAATTGGGACAAGAGTGCGTATATGTAACCTAACCACCAGGCAATATGTGAACTTGCCCCTCTTAAGATCAAGAATTATGGCTGCAGCTAATGACAACATATGGAACTATTTTGGACACGACCCTGTTCAGGATGAGTACAAAGTGCTTAGCACAGTTTGGGAGGTGAGCGAGGAAGAAAGAGTAGTGAGATCCGAGCATCATGTGCTGGTACTTGGTCCTCAAGCTTCATGGAGAAACACAAAAAGCACCGTTCCTCCTCCTCCTCATCGTCCTTACTCACAAGGTATCACCATCAACGGTGTATTGTATTATGGAGCTTGGATTGATAAGAATAGATGTGTGATTATGAGTTTTGATATGAGGTCTGAGGAGTTCACTTTGATTGACTTACCCCTTGAGGCTGACATCGTCTGGAACACGCGTGCCGCAAATCTCATGAATTACAAAGAAAAATTAGCTGTTTTCGAATATTCCAATACTTTGAATAATCTTAGCATGGATGTATGGGTTGTTATGGATGCCGGGAAGAGTCAATGGTCGGACAAGAAGACTTATGTTTTGCCTAATTTCCAAACGCTTGCCATGTCCAATCGGTTGCTAATACAAGCCACTAGTCACAGCTGTGAGATTAGGCTGTCAAAGGAAGATATATATAGACCACGCTCTGCCATATATGATCTGGAGAAGAACAAGATAACAAGACACATTCAAGTAATGAACTTATTTGATCGTTTTTGCATATCCCCGCTTTTGGATACTTGTTTTTGGGATGATATTGAGAGCATCATGTATTTGGAGACCTAATTACGTTACAGTTTATACCATATTTTTCCTTTTTTATTCAATAACTAATTTCTTTGAAATTTTCTATTTGCAAGTTGTGTCATCTGAACCTCTCAAGAATCAAGATTGGGTTATACATTTTACATATACCATAATTCTGCAAGTAACATATGTACAGATCATACTTAAACGCAATTTCTACTGCAAAAAGCTTTCCTATTGTTGCATTCTAAAAATGATGTTACATGAAGACTGTTTACTGTTGCATGTGTAATGCAGAATGTTTCAGAGCATCTCCTAGTTTCTCTTAACATATACGAAGGTGTTTGTTGAAATCTATTAAAATTGAGCTTAAATGCTTAGCAGATAAGAAATGAATGCAAAGAATGAAAACACTGCAACAGTCAGGAAAATGTAAGAATGTCATAGCAAAAGTGGACTATACCAGGAATGAGAAAGGATAGTTCCAGCTCTCAGAAATGAAACAGAGTGGATCCAAAGATATATTCTACGAACCAGTAGAAAGTCTCAAGGCATATATTTTTCTTCTTTGCTGTGTCGGGCAGAAGAGCTTTACATCTAAAAACGTTTGTGATTGCTGGCGACGATGGTCGGGTCTCTCAGGATTCTCGACACCTGTAGAACAACAACATCACAAATTCCATTGAGTGATTGAGTGAGAGATAGAGGGGGAGATGAGATAAAGAGAGAGATCGAGAGATCAGATTATACCATTTCTTGTTTCTCTACATCAGTGATAGTTCCGCCAAGGCGCCTCAAGAAAGCTTGGACAGAACGCATATCACCAGCTGCAAGTCTCTGTTCAACCCATGGGCACGCATGCATCTGCAAAATCAGAGAGGGGGAGTTACAATATTCATCTGCAAAAAGAAGAATGATAACGTATTTGTGCCATCCTGTAGTTAACTTAGTCTATATCTTTAGGCTCAAACACACAAAAACTCATAATCCAAATCCACAATGCATATTATTTTTCAACTTTTTCAACCTCTTAAATTATGCAACCATTTGCATCCTAAGACTGTTGCAAAGAGCAAACAGTAGGTGGGTTAATATTTGTGCTTCTTCGGTTGACTGTTGCAAACATACATGTTCTGGTAACATACCAATGTACTTTTGCTCTCGTTCTTGATAATTTTTTGCAGAGCAGAAGGCCATGCTCTTTGAAGCCGAATGCCATCAGAAACGACAACAATTGGTATTGTGATCATTCTTTGGTATTGTGATCATTCTTTAAATTTCCGCAATGCTTGAATATAACAATGTTTGTAAGCTTCTCAGTTTCGCTTAGTTCATTGATTCCTGATTACTGCTTTTAGGTGTATTGGACATGAAAACTTTGACATTGGATGGTAATAGATTAGGTGAATATTTGATAAAATATTTTGATGCCTTGCTCCTAAAACGTATGGGTTGCCATGGAATCAGTAGGCACAAAACCTGTAACAATGATAGAAGAGTGAATGATGATGGAGCAACAATGACCGAAATGGCAAGCATTACGAAGCATATGTTAGCCACAACTGATGCCAGCAGGAAAAATTGCTGTGACAATCTCATTATCTGTTGTAGGTGTAGTAATGGCATAGATCACAAAATGCGACTTCATCGAGCTCTCAAGAAAATCTGGCCACTTCAAAGAGACTGTCATCGAGCTTTAGAGAAGAAGTAAAGGACTATCAGGCATTGGAGACAAGAGCTATTTGCCAAGAGTGCTGTTTGAGCTTGGTCACAGTGCTAATTATCCTTATGGCCACATCTACCAAAATCAACGTGAAGCATATCAAGATCATAGTGCTCAACTGCAGAGTCTTCAACACCACACCCTCTCTGTCAGCCATGGTAATTAAGATGATCATAGAGCTACAATCTCGGTGGTATGGGATCTTTTAATTCTTACGCTTTGGTGATGAGCACTGAGATAGTAAGCTTCACTTGGCACTCAGGTAATGACGCCATGTTATATCCACCAATTGTTTAGGAAGCCTCTCAGGCGTGTATATATATATATATGGCACTCCAATACTAACTTATGGAGGTGACAATAACAAGGACACAGTCTGTTTTACTATTGCTCTGACCTCTGTTTTTATTGAAGTTAACTATTTAAGTGGTGAAATGAAACAGCTTGTAAGAACCCATAAAGGCATGGATGCACAAGTTTTTATATAATTCAATATCTGTCTCTCTCTCTCTTCTTCCTCCTCAGGCCACGACAATCAAGATCTCCGGAGACTCTTTCTATCGATGTTGATGAATCATTAGTGATGATAGACCAAATCACAAGATTCACAACCTTAACTATATCGTTAACCTTGATCACAATTCACAACCTGAGTGCGAAAATGCACAACCACACCCCTTAGCGCACTATACATTTATACTTAATTTCTATTCTATACGGCTCATAGAAAAGATTTCTCGAAAAGAGCTTGTTGATCATATGCATTTACGTGGTCAAAACTAAAGAGTTTATAAATATTAACATTGTTACCCAAAAAAAAACTAAAAAGTTTACCATGCATTAATCATCTGCATAAAATAAAATAAAAAAAGATGCATGTGGCACGTGCTACAAAGATGTACACGTGTAATCATGGTTACTTCCATAACATCAAATCCGAAAGAAAGAAAAAAGGAAGAAGTGAGAGTAATCAATCCATTATCGCATAGGTTATCAAATGTAGGAATTATTAAGAAGATACATAACCATTTGCATTCATCTTCTCATCTAACTCAAACAACGACGATAGACTACAAACACACCTACTCTCCTCGCCTATCGAAGTCTCCGTCAATATCCGTACGGGCGTCGACGAGGTCTCATCGGAGGACGAGTACGACGTGTACAACGAGATTGGCCACGACGATGAAAGAGAATCCTCGATAACGACGTCGGAACTAGGTTCTCCTCCAGTGACATCTTTAGAAGGTCCTCCTACTGCAAAGTTTAAGACCAAATCGACGAAGGCGGTGAAGATGTATTTATGGCTGGTCTTGGCGTTCACTTTCAAGAACCAAAAGAGAAGCTTCTCGAGGCTTTTCCAATCCTGATGAAGCGCGTTTGCTTCAACCATCTTTTCCATTGAGTTCTTGAAATCAGAATAAGGATCGTTTGATTCCAAGGACAAGAGCATGAAGCCTTCTTCGTCTTCATGATCTTCTCTCTTGGTAGTGTCTTCAAGTATAGAGTTCGATGTTCCTCTCTGATCGAAGATGAGTCTTTTCGATGATTTTAGCCCTTTAATCACATTCTCTATAGTCTCTATCTCCGGCGGATGTCCCATGACGTGACTGGTGGAGGAGAAGGACGAGTAGGACGATGAGGAGGAGAAGCTTCTCGGTGGTGGCTCGGGTTCGTCCACATGTTTAGGTTTGTTAACGATGACGGAAGCTCTCGAAGATTTCGTTTTAGGGCTTTGTTGATGACAAGATGGCCATGGCCATGAAGAAGAAGAAGAAGATGAACTTGAAGAGAATGAAGAAGTTGAACTAGTGTTGTTCTTGTTTAGGAATGGGAGTTTCATTTTCCTGACCATTTTGATTTTTTTTTTTTCCTTTTCTTGTTTTGTGTTCTTGAGAATGTAATTTTCTCTTTTTCTTTTGGGGTTGGACTGAAAATTATAGGAAGTTTAGTGAAGTTAATAATGTTGAGAAGTGAGAGTGGGAAGAAAGATTTTAAGGCTTTTGAAAAAGAGAGGAGAGGCAGCACAAATAAGGATGGGGTGGGGACATTTTTTGTAAAGAGAAACTTTATTTGATTTATTTTAATTTTATTAAATTTTGATTGTCTTTTTTTGGTTAGTGTATTTAATTATTGGCACCCAAATTTATTGTTGTTTGGTTGGGGATCATTCAATTTTTGTAAGTACATTTTCCCCGGTTAAGAGATTTCTCATTTCTGTGTGTTTTATTAACATTTTTGATATTTGAAATGAATATCCAAAAACCTAGATATATATTTGAACTTTAAGAATATTACATGAACTTCTTTATTTATTTATTTATTAATATATGGATTAATCTTTATAATATGCAAACCCAAATAAAAACTTAACTATATCCTCATGCAATTGGTACTTTCCCGTTATTAATACACAAAATTATGGCTGAAAATGCAAATTACCAAATACATCCATATTTTAGTGAATTTATAAGCACTCTATCTAAAAATAATTAAAAATGCAATAGATTTAAGAAACTGCAAATTTTAATCCATTTGATAGTGATCAAATTAAAATTTTATAAATAAACAAAATATCATTGTTAAATAAAATTAAATCTTAAGAAATGGATCGAAATAATTTTTCTGTTCATATAATATATATATATATATATATATATATATATATATCTGGATATGGAACGTAAACTTACCTACTGAACTAGTGTCACTGCCAAAGAGTTAATCAACGTCAATGTTTGGTTAATGTTCCTATTAATGTTTTGACAGGCAACTATCAAACTATAGATAGAGAGATACAACAACATGACATATATAAAACGATCTCCAAATTAAATGAATTCAAAAATATCACCAAAACAAATAATTGAAAACTTGATAGCTGTATGTATGTACCTGCCACAAATAAGCTTTTCTTGAAATTAACTACAAATTTGCATCAACGATGAAATTTCACTCATTCAGTAATCTACTATCAAAACTCTAAATTCAATCATTCATAGTAATCACCATGCATTCATCAACTAAAACCCTACGGGTTTGTATAAAATGGGAAACTTCATTAATATAGTAATCATCTCTCTTCTTTTTTTTTTGTGTGTGAAAGTAGTGATCATCATCTCTTCTAATTAAACTGCATTAGTTAAGTAGTAATATGGTTCAATAGTTTTAGATCAAAATATAGTACGAATAACTAAATATTGTAAATTAAGATGTGAAGAACGAATTTAAAACATATATAAATATATATGTACGTGTACGCATCCCACACTTTAAATATATTATAACACAAGCTAATAAATCAAAAAGAGAAATGATAAATATGGTAAATTAATTAACTCAACGAACAGTCGAAGGAACCAACCAACTATCAAAAGATGTATGACGTCGATAGATGGTATAGACAATATTATAAGTTCCGTGGCATGCAGTCGCTTCAACTGAAACATTTCCCAATTTTAATACTACTACTAATAATTATTCACATATCTTTCCCGAATCTGATACAGCTTTAACTCACTAGGACCTTAAAAGTTAAAGCATGCATCGTGGCCATCGGCTTACCCTGTCCGGCTTGAATACGAACATATCTAAAAAGAGTTTTTGGATTGATCTATACGCATGTACGTCAAACCAAAATTTTGGTCTGAGTCCAACCCAAATTGTTTCAACGTTGGAAAAGATACTCAAATGAAATTTCAAAAGCTGTTGATTTGAACGGATTATAATTAGATTCCTTATATCTTGAAGATGCGATCTATTTTCGTTATAGTTGAAACCTAGGTCACCATGGCATTATTGATGGTCTTAGTATTACTTAGCAAATAAATAAAATGAAAAAGGTGAAAAGACAACTGGGCAATAAAATGGGAAGAGAGGAATACAAAAAGAGATAGATAAAGAGAGACAAAAGTGTAAATGCTTATATCTTTACGTAAATTCCTCATGTAGACTTGTTTCCCACAAACATAATGTACTTCCGAATCTTATAAAGCAATTTTAAAAAGATATAGTTACTTTTTATATACACTTTTATTTTAATTCACTGTTTTAGCAGTTTTTTAATTCACTGTTATATATATATATATATATTAGTTATAAATTCTCAGCAGTAGAGACATGTGTAAATTACGCTGATAGTCAAAAGATTTTTATTCTGACCATGAAATTTTTGATGAGACATATGTTGACAGAAATAGTCAAGAGTTTCAACTACCGATCATGTTGCAGTTTTCCCAAAATAATATTACAATCAGATTTATGTCCAGTACTCACGTGTATTAAAGACAATGGGATTAATGGCCGGAGCGTACAATCTATTGGTCAGCTGGTGTTTTGGTTTGTAATTTTGTATATGTATTACGATGGAGTTGGGTGAAACTTTCTTACATAAAATTTTTTGGTTAGAATGAATCTTCGTGTAACCCTTTTCATTTTTTTTGGTCTTTGTCGATCTCATGCTTGCATGTGACATACCAACAAAGACATCTCTCTCATCAAAGATCACAAAGAAATATTCAAAATGTTGATTAAAAAAAAGAATCAAACTATAGCTTCCAATCTTCCTTTTAATGATGCGCATATCTACGCGTGCATGTTATAAGAGACTTAAGAGTATATATGGATCTCATCATATCATCTACTACTCTATAGCCCTGTATAACTCTACATATTCTTACCACTACTAGTTACTACTTACTATCATTAGTGATGAAGTCATCGGAACTTATCGATTACAAAACAATTGCCTCGCTTTGTAAAAGAACTATGTTTTTTTCTTATTGATAAAGGAACAATAACAAAATATATTAAATTATAATTAGAAAATGTACCGTAGCTATATCAGCATGAGTCACGCATGGAAAGCAAAGAAAGAAGACCTCACACGAGTATACGATTTGATCATGTAACATAAGAGATGAAAGCTCGGACAGAGATCTCTTGGTTCCGCATCAATCCCTCTAGACGTATATAACTCGTATACACTTCTAACCAAGGACAAACGTCAAGTGCATGCATGCTTACTTAGCTTCTTCTCTCACGGCTTATCGTGTATATTTATCATTTATCTATTCAGGAGTCTTGACGATACATTTGGACGTAGCCGCGATGAAGCGAGTATACCGCAACCACCTCCACCATGAACCACTTGAGATTAGAGAAAGTGTCGATGGATTCCAAGGGCAAGAGAATGAATCTTTATTCCTCATCTCTTCGAGTTCGAGAATAGAGTTTGACTCTCCTTTATGTTCAACGATAAGTCTTTGTGATGATTGTATCCCTTTGATCACATTCTCTATGGAATCGGTCTCCGGAAGCTCTTCAATGGCATCAGTGGTGGATGAGATGGAGGAAGATGAGGAGAAGGAGATAATGGGAGAAAGCGGCTTTTCCTTCTCTTCGTCCTCCTCTTCACCATTTTCCTCCTCATCTCCATTTCCCTCTTCGTCCTCCTCTTCTTCTTCTGCGTCCTCCTCTTCTTCGTCTTCGAAGTCATCAGTAGGGTTAATTGCGATGGTGTTGACTCTGAAAGATTGTGTTCTAGGGTTTTGGTGACAAGAAGGCCATCCCCATGATGATGAATCTGAAACTGAATAACATGATGATGAAAAACTCTTGTTTAAAAATGGGATTTTCATTTTTATTTTTTTTTCTCTTTTTGTTGTTCTTTATTTTTTCCTAATTTCTTGGGTTGGAATCAAAATGAGAAATTACGTAGGGGGAGTATAAAAGGGTTTCGGGGTGGGATGGGGTGGGTGACAGATATATACTGAAACTTCCTATTTATTGTTGAGCCTAAAGGAATGATTTTGATTAAAAGTGAACCTAAAAGGGTTACTCTACCATAGATATACGCATCTAACATAAATTACTTAAAAGTTAATTTAAAACATAAAACTAAATTTCTATTTTGGTGAACTAAAACTAAATTTTTATTGTAATATGTTATATACTCTTATTTTTGATGTTTGTATGATTTGAAAAGATATTTTTAAGTTTAGAAAACATCATTGACAGTGTTACAATATTGCAGATCCATAACAATTACTTGTCCGGTTGTCCCTTACATCTAATTTTGGTGAAAATAATAATAATAACCGTACCACCTATCACAATTTATTTTCATTTTAATGTTCCTTTAAAACAAAGTCGTCGACACACAAATGTTAAAAAAATATGGATGTAACTATAGATTTCCGGAACTTAATTTCACAAATGTCACCACCATAACTATTAGTTGAAACTTGACAATTGACAACTTCACTTACGGGAGAAGGCCATGTGATTATGTGTATTAACTATTAAGTATATGTGATATGTCCTAATTTTACAATATCATTGTTGATAGTTACATCTATATATCTTTCTCGGTTTTTTTTTTTTTTGGTAAAGAAAAAACTATAGAGGTTACCAATTTTTACAATATCATTCTTTGATAGTTACATATCTATTTTCTCTCTCAGTTGTTTTTTTGTTTTTTTTAAAAAGAAAAAACTATAGAGATTACATTTATTTTTGGTTTACACCATAGAGATTACATCTATCAACCACATAAGATCCAGCTGGCTGAATCATCCAGCCCTGAGTGTTAATGTTTGGGCTTGAAATCTGATGAAACATCATAAATAATTGAGCTTCTGAGCAAGTGTGTAAATGTGTTATAGGTTTTTAATAAGGTTCAACCACATTTTTCCATTTATTTAATTATTTGGTTTTCGAAGACTACTCGTAAAGTCGTAATCATTCCTTTATGGTGTTTATGGTTAAGGGTTCTGTGAAATATTATGATTCAAGCTAGTTAAATGAGTTTATTTGATGATATTTTTAAAGTGGCAACGAATTCCCAAATCATAGTGGCCACATTTGCATCTAGGATCATTGAAAGAACTAAAGAAACATAGTGTAGAAGTTTCCTACGTTACAATTCTGCTCGAACCTTGAATTAGTAAATTTCAAAGTTTTGATCTCAACCTAACGAGAAAACAAACCCTGCTAACGGATCGTATTAAACAAACAGGTCATTGCTAAAGTGTCTTAGTTAGAAGTGTAGAGGTCTACGTGTCGAAGATATGATTTCTATCTCGAATTTTGAGTGTGTTTTGACTGAGAATCTGAGATCCTAAATCAAGAACGATGACACGTAACATCAAGAAGTAACTTTTATACAATTTATTTATCATTCGATCGATGTGCATCATCATCAGAGGATGATACTACATAAAAAAATTAGCACTTCGTTTCCGGCGGTCATGTTATTTCAGTTTCACCATGGCTTTAGTTGAATCACATAAACAAAAACTAGGGTCATGGTGCATCTTTTACAATCGGTTTGGATTATGAACATTCAAATTATATTGGTAAATTACATCACAAACCAATACAATCTAGCAGATTTCACTAAAAAATGGCTGAGAGAATACGTTGTAATAGATGAAAGTAAATTCAGAAGATTGAACACATTTTGAGTGGGGAAAGAAGCTGTTTTTGATATTTGCACACAATGATAAAACTTCAGATGATTCAATCGAACAACATCATCATCATCACCATACCATCTTTTTTTGATGAATTAAGAGAAAAAAAGCTTGAGAACGACAATGGAGGACCCCAGATACATACTTAAGTATTTAGAAGGGGCAATGATCTTCAGCAAACCAGGAGAAGATTGCAGAAGCAACTAGAAGCAAGTACCCTCTGGAGGTTGAACAAGCTTACGGTTATGCGACGTGGCCATTTCCTTCTTCAGCTGTGTCAGTATATCCTCCATTGTGTACTCTCTTTGCCAGTTTGCAAGAAGCCCGAATTTCTTAGGTTCCACCTATTTAAACACACATATACGCATAGAAAGTTACAGTGCATCCAAAGGAACAAGACAGAGAATGAAAGGGCAGTGTTTTTTTTAGGCATACCACTCCTGTTTCGTGGTTGACACAAGCCATGTTAACACGTGAATGAAACCGCACAGTTGGAGGTTTCTCCGGGTAATCTTTGTCACAAAAGAGCTTCAACTGATAGATTCTACCTTCATGAACAGTCTGCGCATAAGAGGACATACAATTGATATCTGTTAGTACAAGCAAAAGAAGAGACTAAACATTCGAGTTTGGATGTCAAATAAGATCAATGCCTAGAAAATCATTTACTTATAATTATTCTGTATTCAATGTATGGAGGCAAGGTTAATTAGTTATGGTGATAACTGAGAACATCAATCAATTCTCCTCAAAACAATTGTTAACATATATGAAGACAAAGGAGAATGTTAGCATATAAAAGCAAAAGATATAACTACGTTGTGAGGACCGATGATGGTGCCAGTCCATGAACGCATGTAGATGTCATCTCCATCATCCATTCCATAGCTCACAGTTCCATCTCCAATACCTTTCTCCCCACGTTCAAGCTCCTCCAACAACCGGAAATTCCTCGGAACTATATTGTAATAACAATTCACATCACAAAGCAATTATCCACAAACCTCAATAAGATAATAACTTGTAGAGATGATATAAGAAACTTTCTATTTTCTAACTTATAAGGTCTTAGAAGCAATCAAACACACAATTCAGAGACTTTAGGAATCTAGGCTCTGGTTGTAGAATGATGAATACCATTTTAACCATTCTATTGGACACATCTCAAAAAATTGGGACATCAGCAAATCATTCTTATTAGAATTAACTGAGAAACAAGTTCAGCTCAATCTACATACATGATGATAAACAGAGCGATCAACCTAAAACAAAGTAATCAGATTGCAGAGCAAAGCGAAAGATCAAAGAACAAATTTGTTTACTTTTACAATAGATCGATGAAACCTATGAGAAAATCTCAACACCCTATCGATCAAAAACCCTAACCCAGTAATACGGATTTTATTCACAAAACCCTAGAAAGAACAAAAACTCAAACAAGAACAGACCCGAAAGAATCGATTTTGTTTACCAACAACACTAGATCCTCCTGAGCCAAGAGTCATAATTGATCAAGTTGAGGTTTCGATCCGATTGATTTAGAGATCTGATCAAGCTGTGAGAGAGAGAGAGAGAGAGAGAGAGAGAGACCGAGATGAACGCTAAAGGGGAAGTCGAGAGAGAATCTGGTTAAAGCTAAAATGTGAGGGGCAAATTTAGGGAAATTGGGTACTTTCGGGGAGACGGAAAAAGTTAAAAAAACGTTCAACTTTACTACCCTCAAGTTGTGTTTTCTATGGTTATAACTCCTTAAACTATAATAGTTACAGAAACACCCCCCCCCCCCCCCCCCCCTCAGATTTTACGAATCATTCTTTGACTCAATATTTATTTCTTTCCATATTCCACTTTTTTTTTTTTTCACGCTACGACTTTTGATTAGAGGGAGGAGATACGAACCATTTTGTACCATGTCTGGATGTTTATATAGTCAATATAGAAATTTAATTCAATTTTAGTTTTCTTTACCAACATATTTAGTTCCAACTTACATCATGATCCCCCAAAATTAACCCACATGTTTTATTGTATTGACAAACTTTTTTTTCTTGCAAAAATATGCTATGTAAGGTTCAAAGTTATATATAAAAAAAAAATTGGATTTTTTTGACATGCAAAATAAAAATATATCTGAAACTCATTAAATATTAACAATCTCTTGATTTGTAACTAAATTATTGTAAAATGTAAAATCCCTTTTAAAAATCGACATGTCAAATCCCTATTGGACAACATTTCTATTTTGACGTATTAAAAATAAATAACTAAATTATTGAAAAATATAAAACCTCTTTTAAAAATGACATGTCAATTTTCTATTGGATAAATTTTCTATTTCGACGAATTTTTCTTAATACTTTTATAGATATGAAAATTTAATTACTCAACACATTTCCCAAATCCCGATACTTAGAAATAGAAATATGCCATAAAACACATCAAAACAAATTTAGTTTTTGAGTTAAAAGTATTTAATCAAAGTTTGTTAAGAGTTCTTAAATCATTGTATATCATTTAATTATTGAGAATTTTTGAGAAATACCCCTTTTGGTGTACCTCTTTTTAAAAATACCCCATTTATCTATCCATTTTCAAAAATACCCCTTTTTAAATATAAAAAATTATAAAGTTTTATATAGTTTATAAAATATTTCTATATAATAACTACTACTGGGAGATTCGATACAAATATTTTAAAATGTTTTAAATAGTTTTAAATCGTTTTTATAAGTTTTATAAGGTTTTTAAAAGATTTTTAAAAGGGTTTATACGGTTTTTATAAGGTTTTTATAAGGTTTTTATAATTTATTTTTACGCTATTTATGAAAGGTATATAAAGTTTTTATATATATATAAAGGTAATTTGTGTATATATTTATAAGTTTATACACATATTTGGATAAATTTCAACATTTTTAGTGGTTTTTTTTGATAAAGTCTGAAAATGGGGTATTTTTAAAAAGAGATATATGAAAAGGGGTATTTTTAAAAAGAGGTATATGAAAAGGGGTATTTTTGAAATTCTCCCTTAATTATTCCTAAACTCTAAAAATACACTTCATAAATCTAAAGTTTGTAAAATTTCTTAACTTTTTGTATTCGATGGTAACATAGATTATGAGAACCGGATTGAATGCCGATGAAACCTAAGCAACACCATTATTAGTATACTACCAATTTGATTCTTAATACTCTAGTTCGGCACGTGTCAATCGTTTGTTTGTTTGCGCTTAATTTTTTCTTTAGTACTTTAACAAAGTAAATTTTACGTTTCATTTGGCGTTTTTGTTTATATTTAAAATTATATTTTACAGAATATATAATAAAATAATATATACATTGAAACGCAAACGCCAAAACTAGCGTGTGAAACGATCAAACTCAATTTTTGATGAATTTCAGCCATCGTTCATGTCTTTTAGGTTCTCAAAATATTGAACAATGAAAATGATTAACTTAACAAAATGAACCAGGGACAGCCACAAAACACAGAAATGATCTCTCTGTCAAAAATTTTACATATTAAAATAGAGATTAATACTTAATAATTTGATTTAATTATAGAGAGGAGGACTTTACAAAGAAAATTTAATTCATCATTATACCAATAACTCAAAAGTCCAAATTGAAACCATAACATAGAACAGATTCGTCTAATTAAAGACGATCACATCGGTGCGTTTGCACTTGGGGCAACGTTGACGTTCTTGCAAGACCATAGCATACATCAGACACCTGCGACATCCCACCACCACCATCTCCGGGTCCGGCAACTCTACTTCGTCAACCCAAGACGATGCAACCTCCTCCTTCACTTCCTCCGTCGTGGACAGACACGAGTTTTGCGATGATGACGTGTCTTTAGTTGGTGTTCTTCCTTCAAACCTCCGATTACGAACCACCGACTCCGCCATCCTCGCCTGTGGCTCTTCTCTGGCTCTTTTACCGTTCTTGTTTCTCATCTCGAAACTTTGGACTCGTCGAGAGAGTTTTTTTTGTTTTGTTTCTTGTATTTGTTTTGCTTTGTATTGTTCTAGGTGATGGGTTTGATGAATGACTTCTTATTAAAATGTACGTGAGTATATATAATGGGAGAAGAGGAGCTAAATATGATCAAGAATTAATTAATGTTGAATAAATTAATTATGCTATGGAGAGAGAATTATGACTTTGTTTGATTTAGTAATATATTTATTAAATGGAGGTGGCAAAAATAGTAAAGAACATTAGAGAACAGTAAAGACAAATATATGAAACAAAAGGCAATTCAGTAAAACAATGCAATTAGTGCATTTAAACCAGTGCATCAAACTATTTATTGCTTGAATGTATAGGGGAAGATTTAAATCTTACAATTTTCAAAGAAAATGAATGACTTATTATTTATAATCAAAATATTTAGTAGTAGATCCTTCATTTTACGATAGTTGTAAATTTATAGCTTCACTTTTTGTTTCGAAGATTGTCGTTAAGTATTGTTTTAACACATATTTAAAACAATATTATTTATATATCTTACTGTAATTTATTACGTATATTTTTTTGGTTCATTTGTTACTTAATGTTACCCACTATTCTATATATAACTATTCAAAGAGGTTGCCTCAAACAAACTATAATTCGACTATTTTCTTGAATGAACCATATATACTTTCTATAAACTCGGATTCTAATATAACTTTAAATGAAACAAATGCAATTTTTTATCATAAATAATTTATACTATTTTGTTTGTTTCATTAGAAATGTTGTTTTATAATTTTACACATGTAAAATCTATTAAATTTGTTATTTTTATTATTTATTAGTTCTTAATGTAAAAATAATAAACTGTAGTAAAAAAATTATTAAAACATGGTGAAATAGTTAAAATAGTTTATGAGAATTTTTTGTATTAATTTCATTTATTGTCATCTTAGAAATAGTCTCTAGATTATACAGTTCATGCAAGAAAGTGTTATAATATATTCAATTGTGAAATTTAAATAGTTAGATATAAAAACAATGGGTAACAATACATTAACTAATAATGAATCAAACCATTTTTTTAAAGTTATCTACAAATTACTTTATGAAAAGTAAAAATATAATAATTAGTGGTACGTTTATACCGTGAAGCATCTGTTTAAAACGACGGTTTCAAACGCCAGCTAAAAAAGTTTCATTCTGATCCATAACCAAATGGACGTTGCAGAACTAGCCATGAAACTCAACTACTTTTCCAAAATTCTGAATATAAAGTAATGATTTTTTGGTAGTAATAATTTTTTGACAACACATAAGAATAAAAGATATTGATGTATGTAATTAGTTATGGTGGTTTAATTGTATATTCAAAGATTTAAACCATTAATATGTTTAGAATTTCCAGGTTCACTAGTCATTCCCCTAAACATATATGACATTATTTTTTTGGCAATAATCTAGAAGAACAAAAGATAACAGTAGTAACAAGAGGCCAATAACTAAAAATACAGACCTAAGGAGCAAAGCATGGATAATATAGCTGTTAATATAAGTCTCGTGTGTATTAAATGCTTTCCAACTAAGTGCACAATCAAATTTAAAAGATTTATAGACTAAAATATTTAACGACAGTCATGCAAACTTGATAGCAACTATACAACATGGAAGCCCAAAATGGGATGATTAATAAAATATTTCTTTTTCGAATTTGCTTCACAAGATTATAATAGTGCTAGAAGCTTGGATTTGTTGTTTAAGCAACAAAAAAGAAAAAATAAGAGAAGAAGTCTATTCCTTATAAACAATTAGGTAGCAAAATGTCAAATACTACCATTGACCTTCCATAAAATCTAATACCTCAGCATCAGTTATATCCCATGTGAAGCTCTTTAATGGAAGTTAATGGTAGCTCTTAATTGATACTACTACAATTTGTTTTCTTTTGTTATCTTAATCCCCATTCATTACGAATCTGAAGAGTGAAGGAGATGATAACTTCTCTCTTTCTCTACTTAGGTTTCAAAGTTTACTAAGAAGATCGAATTTGAGGCTCTTGTGTGTAATGATCCCATGCATGCATGGTTGTATACTTGTATGTGATCCAAATCAAAACAGAAACCTTTGCTCCAAAGTCCAAAGGCGTATAGTTTATTTCAAGATTAGTTTCGGTTGTGGTCAGAACCATTGATCTATATGTGAGTTTGAAACAGTAACGTGAAGGTTGAAACTGAAACCCCATTACAAAACAAAACCATATTCAAAACATAGAGATTGCATTCACTGATTCTGGAAGAAGATCGATGTCTTGTTCTAGTTTAAGAGGGGTTCCTTGTTCTACTGTCCAAACGCTTCCTTTGGACTTTTTTTCATTCCTCATTATACGGGATAAATTAAATTCTTTTGGTATGTGACATACCGCAATATCCGTTTTTACAATTAAAGCACTCTCGCTTGTCCAAGATCATCGTCTCTTCTTCATCAACTTGATTCTTCATTCAATAATTTGTTTTTAGTCTTTTTTTTTGATACAATGATAATGTTTCTTTTTCCTTTTTTGCTATGACATCTACATTAACAAATGGACATGCAACGTCAAGTCGTCAACTATCATATAACCATACCACTATTAATAAAAATTTGCAGCTTGGTTTCTTGGACTTTAGAGGAGGTTCAGATGATTTATGCCTTGTCCTACGTGGGATGCACCATTTTTAAAAATATAATTTGTTTTTTTAATTTTAGTTATATTTTCAAGCCTAATTCTAAAGAGAAGTTGTATATTATATAAAACAATAAGACACATTAAAACATGTGACAGTTTGGCCGAGTGGTCTAAGGCGCCAGATTTAGGCTCTGGTCCGAAAGGGCGTGGGTTCAAATCCCACAGCTGTCATTTTCTTTTTTCTTTTTCCCTTTTTTTTGTTCGCCTTCGCTTTTGTTAAGTTCGCCGGAGAATTTCGAAGCTAGCGAGGAAGAGAATCAATGGCGAGGACTCTAGCGAACCGATTTGAATCTCGCTTTTTGATTCGTTTCCTTGAGTCTCCGTGTCTGTTCGCCTCCTGCTTCACGAGTTCGAGATCTCTTCAAACCGTAGCCTACGAAGAAGTCAGATCCTCCGGAGATGGGAAGAAGAATGAGTCTACAGCTCTCATCCTTCATGGTCTCCTCGGCTCTGGAAGAAACTGGAGATCGTTTTCTCGTTCCCTAGCATCGTCTCTCTCCGTCTCCTCTGCTTCTGGTATGCCTCTCTCTTGTGATCTGTATTTTCACCTTTAATTTGATATATCGATTAATTACTTTCTTTGTGTATATCCAGATTGGAAGATGATACTGGTTGATCTGAGGAACCACGGGAGATCTGCGGAGGTGGAAGGGCTTAATCCGCCTCATAATCTTGTGAATTCAGCTAAGGATTTAGCTGATTTGGTGAAATCAAGTGGCTGGAAATGGCCTGATGTTGTCATTGGTCACTCCTTGGGTGGTAAAGTGGCTTTGCAGTTCATGGAGAGTTGTGCTCGTGGTGATTATGGTGTATCAGCTTCTCTTCCTAAACAGGTACTGGACTAAAGTGACTCCACTTGCTCAATCAAAAGGTTCACTTCTTATAAAAAATGTTGGGTTTTTCATTGTTTGGTTGTCGATTGTTACGATCTATGCAAGTTTAATGAGCTCATTGTTGTTGTAAGATGACTAATTTGTGTCTTTCTGTTGGAATGATGATGATGACGAATTGACCACAGCAAAGTTTGTTTGTTGTTCTCTCTCTTTTGATGCAGAACAGCTATGGGTGCTAGACTCTGTCCCTGGGGAAGTCAAGGCAGAACAAAGTGATGGTGAAGTAGAGAAAGTTCTGAAGACGTTGCAGAGTTTACCTTCACCAATCCCTTCCCGCAAGTAAAGTCTCATCCTTTCTGGTTTTTGTCTACCCACTAGACTGTTTGCTTAAAGCTTAGTAGTTCCGCTTACGGTAATATTCATAAGCATCGTCATAGTTGATACTTGATAATGACATGCAAGTTGATACGTACTGCTCAGTTTTGATATGAAATCTCAGGTGAACGTTAGTAGATGTGGTGTATAACATCACTCTGATTATAACATCACTCTGATTTGGCTCTTGTTCCGGATGCCAAGGGCATTTTATTTTGGTTTTGGCATGACTCAGTAAAGTAAGCATATGCATGTAGATAAGTGGGAATAAAGACTATGCTTATATGATCGCTTCTAGCTGATTATATGTTACACATGTCAATGAGCCTCCTTTTACTTGTGTGTGTATATAAACCCAATCTCGTCCCCCTCAAAACATTGCTTTGTGATCCTAGGTGGCTGGTGGATCATATGGTTGAACTAGGGTTTACAAGATCGTTGTCCGAGTGGATTGGCAGCAATCTCAAGAGATCTGGAGACTCAGAGACATGGGCCTTTAACCTTGATGGAGCTGTCCAAATGTTCAACTCTTACAGGTTTCTTTCCCCTCATAAGAATCAATGACTATCATTATATAATGGCGTTCCTCAATATTTTACTTTTATTTATATGACTCCTCACTTGCCTCATCGTAGGGAGACTGCGTACTGGTCTTTGCTAGAGAACCCGCCAAAAGAGACAGAGATATCTTTTGTGATAGCAGAAAAGAGTGACCGATGGGACCACGATACAACCAAGCGGCTTGAAACAATTGCTAACCAGAGACAGAATATCTCAGAAGGGAAGGTCGCGACTCATCTTCTTCGTAACTCTGGCCATTGGGTTCACACAGACAATCCAAAGGGATTACTGGAGATAGTGAGTTCCAACTTCTTGTCCACACACAAGTAGACTTTACGAGAACTGCATCAGTCTTTGATTGGTTTTATTTACCCCTTGATCTGTATTGATATGCAGAAGTAGCAAATTCAATTGCGACTAATTAGTTAAATACGCATTGTTTCCTGTTTGCGGCTTTGTATGTCCTTCCAACAATGTACAAACGTTTAGTAGGAGGATCTAATAATATTATGAGACATGTTACATTCCTGTAGCTAACTCTATTGAATGCTTTGAGATAAATACTCAAGACATGCCCTGAATTTTACAATGCCGGGAAAACGATCTTTATGGGCCATAAATAATTGAGTACGAATTGGGCCCTATTAGGCCATAAAATCAATACTTAACCCTAACAAAATATTTCAGACTATTAAAGCCATTCTGGTTCGTCTCTTTCGCTAGCTTAAGGCGGAACATAAACAAAAACCCTAGCTTCTTTTCTTCCTTCAGCTATTCGAAACCATGGTAAGCTTTCGTCTAAAGCTTGTAATTTGTTTTCACGGATTTTAATAGTTAGAAGATATTATCTGGAACTCCATTTCTGGTATTGTATGGTAGTTTGAAGTGAGAAAATGTTCCTTTTCTTCGAATTTTGATCTGAAAGCATTTTAGATTATTGAAAGATTGTGTTTTTAGATCTAACAATGAATTATCAATTTGAGAGTATAATGCTGGTGTTGTTTTGGTGTGTGTGTAATATTGTAGTCGAAGAGAAAGACTAAAGAGCCTAAGGTGGAGAATGTGACCCTTGGACCAAGTGTTCGTGATGGAGAGCAAGTTTTCGGAGTTGTTCACATTTTTGCTTCATTCAATGACACTTTCATTGTGAGTGCCTTGTTTTGTCTTTCTACATTTCAATCAAAATTAGATTTTTTAAATGGTACATTGCTCAACTTCTTATATCTGCTATTTCAGCACGTGACTGATTTGTCTGGACGGGAAACACTTGTTCGCATCACCGGTAAGCATCTATTGCAACTCTTTCTCTATATGCTTTGGTAGTTTTAAGAACATTCTGAGATGATCCTTTTGTTAATTTTGATTTTGTTGTGTATATTGTTATGAACCTTGCACTCTCTAGTGAGTGTGAAATGAAGTTTCTTTAGACTTTGCTCACAAATTTGAATACGGTAGTTTCTGGTATTATTTTCATCTCTATTGGGTGTGAGCTAAATTGTGCTTATTCTGTTTTCGTTTGATGTTTTTAACTTTTTAGGAATTCCATTTTTTAATCTTTGTGGACATTATGTTATGGTCATCTGTCTTAGCTGCAGTGTCTTTAGTCTTTGTTTGATTGAGAATTTTTACTTTTGAAGGAATTCCTTTTTCATCTGTTTGGAAATTGCATCGTTCATTAAAACTCAATTTGCTGTTTTGATTTTAACTTCCATAGGAGGGATGAAGGTGAAAGCTGACAGGGACGAGTCCTCACCTTATGCAGCTATGCTTGCTGCACAAGATGTCGCTCAGCGATGCAAGGTACAAGCAAAGAAAATTCATTGCCTAAGCTAATAGTTGGATAAGTCTTTTTGTAAATGTAATCATATTGTGAATATATTTTTCGCAACACAGGAACTCGGAATCACTGCTATACATGTGAAGCTTCGTGCCACTGGTGGTAACAAGACTAAGACCCCTGGACCTGGTGCTCAGTCTGCCCTAAGAGCCCTTGCCCGTTCTGGCATGAAAATTGGTCGCATTGGTAAAAAATCATTCCTCATCTACAGTTGTTTTGTTGTATCTTTGATTAAATAAAGTGTAACATTGTTCTTGTTTTCCCTCAGAGGATGTTACTCCAATCCCAACTGACAGTACCCGCAGAAAGGGTGGAAGAAGAGGAAGGAGGCTGTGAGTTTTGTTGTTGGCGTTTCTGGAATCCCTTTTGGGCTCGACTCCATATTTAGCTCTCTCAATGTTTCACTTTGTCTTTTCTTAGAATGAAAAGAGTTTTGAATTTAATATGCTTTGTTATACAGTCTCAACTCTTAACAGCTTTGAATCTTCTGTTATATTACCAAATGATTTTCAAAATGTGGTATTCATATTATCTCTTAAACATCTAAGATTTTGTCATAGTCTACTTGCAAAGTGTTAGTTGCCAAATCTTTAGTTTGTATTAGTTGCAACTGTAAAACTAGTTTAAAAGTATGGGACGATCTTCAATTCATCTCAAAACATTTTACTCTAGAAATAAACAATGTAAATTTAGCTCTAGTCGACAAAAATGTGTAATTTGTTCTTGTCAAGTCTCAAACGTCGAGATTCGTAGAGACTACCATGTGTTGGTGTGTTGGGTTTTATCTCTGTTCTCGGATTAAGAGGCTGAAGCGTTGAGATGAACAATAATTGAGCATCAGAATTCAGGAACCTACACTAATGGGAGGTGTGGTCTTTAGATGAGATGTCCAAAGAGTGGTCTTTGAATGAGAGCTGTCCAAAATGTTATCTCAAATCCTAAGGCATCAAGGTGGACGCGTTGACTATATAAAACACAGCAAAGGTTGTAAAGTGGGCTGGGCCTTTTGTGGTAGGCCTGTAACAAAATGAAAAACACGTAAACCCAGCCCAATAAAACTACAAAACCCTAGACATGAACATTGAGATATAAGAACCCGCCTCCTTCGTCTTTAGGGTTACTCTACGGGAAAGAAGACGAACAACCAAAGATGCAGATCTTCGTGAAAACCTTAACCGGTAAGACCATCACTCTCGAGGTCGAGAGCAGCGACACCATCGACAATGTGAAGGCTAAGATCCAGGACAAAGAAGGTATGATTCATCCCTACTTAAAATCTCGATTCTTCTCTTTTTTACATTTTTGAAATTTCAGATCTCTTAATCATTTGCTTGTTTCTCATTTAGGAATCCCTCCGGATCAGCAGCGATTGATCTTCGCCGGAAAACAGCTCGAAGATGGCCGTACTTTGGCTGACTACAACATCCAGAAAGGTAACGACTCATTTCAAATCCTTGTGTTGATCATTTCGAGTAGTCCATTTCGCTAGCTTCTCTGAATTGAATCAGTTGTTTACATTTGTAATCAGAATCCACACTTCATCTTGTGTTGAGGCTCAGAGGAGGTATCATTGAGCCTTCATTGATGATGTTGGCTCGTAAGTACAACCAAGACAAGATGATTTGCCGCAAGTAAGTGTTTATTTCTTCTTCTTCTTCTCACTTCTAGGAGAATGTATTGGTGATTAGGTTATTGTGTTGTTTAGGATTTAAGGTTAGTTTCTGGGAATTAACTTAGCTTCTCAAGCCAGTTACAATGCGTGTTGAGTTATAAATGTTCCCAATATTAACATTTCCATTCTCCAAACTTTGTCAGCTGGTCAAATTTCTCATCTTTCCAGATGATTTTCTTGAATGGTACATTTATGCATATGGTTCTTTATTACCAAGTGGTCGTTGTTGTTTATAGTCTGAAAATGTATTTGATATTTGTGCTTGATCATTTCATGTAAAGGTCAAGTTTTTGAAAGTACAATCTTGTTTGACTGATTGCTTCTTTCATTTCAATAGATTAATTAGTCTGTGCAATCTCATTTTACGTGTAGTGTGTTTGATTAGTGAATGTTGTGTGTCGTCTTATTTTGATTGTCTCTTTATCTGTCTAATTTATTTCACATCTGTATTCAGGTGTTATGCTCGTCTTCACCCAAGGGCAGTTAACTGCAGGAAGAAGAAGTGTGGCCATAGCAACCAGGTTGGGTTTTGTTTCTTGCTTAGTTTTCTATCTTATTGGCTTAGCCTCTTAAATGATATCTGAACTAAGTTTTCTGTGGTTTTGTTATGTTATTTGCAGTTGAGGCCTAAGAAGAAGATCAAGTAGAGAGGCTCAGTATCAAGAATCCGAACTTGCTTGCTTCTTTTTGTTTTCTTCCCTTTGATAGGGTTTGTGTTTTTTTTGTTTCAGTGAATCTCTATGTTAAAAGATAATATCAGTATAAGGATTTGGTTTTCTATCTACTCTGAATTCATATGCTTTATTTCAATCTACTCTGGATCTGTTTTGAATTTGTATTTTTGCTCTATCCTCAATTGTTTGTTCTTCGAAGGCATAACTTTAGTGAAGAAACATGTGGAATTTGCGGAATTTTGATATTTTTGACCTTGGAAAACATTAATTTGGAAACCAAAATTGATGATTTACGTACAAGTTAAGTTAATAAGAAACACAAGCGTCTCTTCTGGACACTACTCTCTAGGGTAAATCATTTCCGACTACAAGATGCAAAGAAAGCGAGACGTGTGAAACGAAAGAAACATTTTGCAACCGTGTGGTATTGGCATTTCTATGCAAATAAGCATGACCAATGCAAAGATTCAGACTACAAAGATCACTATGAGGCGTAGCCACAAAGAACATCAAAACTAAAACGCAGGTCAGACGGTGATGAATGGTGATTACAATGGAATGTCGAAATCAATTTTTTTTTTTAAAGTTTGACATGGAATTACAAAACCAATGATCGAATAAACCCCATAAATATCTACAACTTTACTGAAATTAAAGTATAAATAAGTTTAATTGTTTGATTTCGAAATATTCTTTTATGATTTATTTTAACTAGTATTTATAAATCATAAAACAAATAACACTTGTCCAAAAAAAAAAAAAAAAAAAAAAACAAATAATACATATTTTAAAAAGTGTGATTTTATTGAGATAACTAGATTATTTAAGTGATGAACTATGTACAAATTAAATTGATAGATTAAGAAACACAACAAGTTTCTTGTTCTATTACATTGTGACAGACTTTCTTTCTTTCTATCTATCTCTGTGTCTTAACAAGCGAATGAAATTTACTAACGAAGAAAAATAAAATAAAATAGAAGCGATCATTTAGCTCTTTGGTTCATCTTCAGAGGCTTTTGCATGTTCCATGCATTGAGCCTCTCTACGGTCACAGGCTGTGATCCGTTGTTAAAGACAAACAAATGAGCTTTTTCTCCTACTGCTTTCGTCGGATACACTCGTGATGTTATTACTGTCTTCCCCTTTGCCCCAAAGCTCTCCACCACCGAGTGATCAATCTGCGTTTATGATTTTTTGTAGTATAACTATTACCAACCATTTTTGCTTATTATATCATTTCATATTTAGAAGAAGAAAACATTAATAAGTTTGTGACGTACCAAACTCCTTAGAGATATCTTCCCATCAGCGAGATCGACATCTACAAAACCAGCAAACGATGGTTTGTACATCCTCTGCTTTGGGTCAGAGCCCATGTCTGTTTTGAGAGTCGAACTGTCGATATATATGATTAATATAATTAGAAACTCTCAAATTATAAATCAAGATGGTTTTCAACGTAAGACACGAAATTTAATTAGTGAGTTAATGAAAACATACGGTTTAGCGTCAGAGCACATGAGGACCTTGGGCTTTTTGGTTGAGGCATCTTTGAAGACTCTGAAGAAAACTGGAGTGTATTCTTCTAGGTCTGATGTAGCCAACGTGATCAGACCAAAAGGTCCGACTCCGCCTGTTACATTCGAACCCTTCATGTTACACAACTCTTGTGGTTTGGTTGTGAAGCTTGCGTCGAACTTTTCGGCCTTCTCTAGACTTCCAACGTTGAATGTCACATACACATCCACCTGTATTTACGTAAAACCTGTATCTTATAAACCTTAAATAATAATGTGAATATTTATTGTGAAAAAACGTTATAAATTTACCTGAGCAGGAGTGATTCCTCGGACCTCAAAACGTTGGCCCATCTCCATTTTTTTATTGTTCATTTGGACATTTTTTCCTCTCAATGTCTCAATCTCTTCAATAGGCCAAAACACGAGTTGCTTATTGCTAGAGTCAAGCAAAACTGTTCTTGGGATAAGCTGAACTCCGGCCCAACCCTTCAAGTTATCATCTTCAACGGTGTCGGATTCATTGGCCCAACCCCAAAGAACTCTTCTGTTCTTCTTGTCATCAAAGAATGTCTTCGACGCATAGAAGTTACCATAGTCGAATCTCAAACCATCCCAACCGTCAGGAGTGTTACCGTCTGGTCTGTAGCTATCTTTCTTGGTGTCATACTTACCAAGAGTGTAGTACTCATATCGGGCCAAGTCCAAACTAACCTTCAACACATGCTTGATGTTTGGACCGTCGTAGCTGAAGTCCAAACCTTTTTTCTTGTCGGTTAAGGATACCGGGAAGAAATCAGGACATTCCCACATACCGGTCTTCTTGCTTGAGTGGATAGGAAGTTTGGTTTTTACCCATTTCTTGAAGTCACGACTTTTATACATATAAGCAACTCCTCTATGTTTTTCCTTTGAGCCAACAAGCATTCTCCAATACCCATCTTTTTTGTTGAACCAAGCCGTGGTCGGGTCTCGGAAATCGGATCCGTTCTCGCCATGTTCGGGCTTTACGATAGGGTTATCGTCCGGTTTAATCCATTTCCTGAGGTATGGGTCGGAAAGGTCTTGGGGAATGGCATAGTTTTGAATCTGAGTCTGGTTCTCGGTGAGACCGGTGTAGAGAATAACCGGTCCTTTTCCCGGTACGAGGGTAGCTGAACCAGACCATGTGCCGTTGATGTCAAACCATTTGGATGGGTAAATGGCCGGTTCAAGGGTTTCCCAATTGATCAAGTCTTTAGAAACCGAGTGCGCCCACACAATGTTACCCCAAACCGCACCTTTTGGATTGTATTGGTAGAAGAAATGGTAGATTCCCTTGTAGATCATCGGGGCTGTTTCAAATCATTGAATTTTTGTTACATGCGATCATATAATGTTTTTTGCAATGAACTTATATACATATAAAAAAAAAGATGTAATAGACTTACGTACGTACCATTAGGATCTGTTAAAGTCGAGAATGGCACGAAGAAGGTATATATGGCGAAACCAAACAAACCGAAAAATAAGTTAGAACAATGTATTATTTTGTTGGTTGATAGAAACTTCAGTACGTAATAGAAGCAATTTTTCAATTGAAACCAATTTCGTTTGATATGAAGACAATGTACCGTTGACCCAATGGCGGGGAGGTTGAAAGTGGTAAGTCGGTCTCTGAAGAGGACTCACTTTGTCCAATGGTGTCGATTGAGATTGCAATCTCTTGAACACTTTGTGAAATGCATCGACGCCATTATTATTGCTTGTATTAATTATTACAATCAATAGCAATAATACATTAACAAACTTTGAAACACTCATTGGTGCAAGATAACTCTATATATATGATCACTACAATTTATTTTGATGTGTCAATAGTTTTTTTTCTTTTCATATACCTTTACAAAGAGAGAGACCTCTGTGATGAAGAAAATTAGTTTTTTTTTATTCAATGATTTTTTTTATCTAGAAGAAAGAGGAGGGACAATATATTAATTCAAAAACTAAGTATCATCCGTAAAGTAATCTTAATCTCAGTCTAAAATAAGAAGAAGAGAATGTGGCTATTAAAACAGCAAAAGAAAGGTCTTGGATTGTGCATCATGACCATCAGTTTCCAACTTTGTATAACATGTGTTTCTTTTTACCGCTTATAACATGTGTTACAGATTTATGTTTATACTACAGTAAAACCTCTATAAATTAATAATCGATAAATTAATAATCTCTATAAATTAATAAATTTCTCCGGTCCCAACTTGGGACCAATGTAATTTTAGACATAGAGAGGTTTTCCTAATTCCAACATTATTAGTTTATAGAGGTTTTACTGTATATTGATTATTAGATAAATATGAATGGTTGTATTTAAAATTATAAAGTATTGTCCCGAAAATTATTAGCATATAAAGTAAATTAAGTCGAGCATTGTGACTGGACTTGACGCTCTTATTACTTTTATGTTTATCCATTCATTTGCCAAGTCATCTATATACTGAATTCACTTATCCATCCTACATTTGCAATAATTGGTTTGGTTTCAAATTTCTAATTGTATATACTTTGAAAATAAATAATAACTAGGTTCGGACCCGCGCTACAGCGCGGTGGAAAATTACTTGGCTTTTAGTCATTTGTACGTTGTGGGATAATTTATTTGTGTTTATTTTACTTTATTTTGATTATTAATTAAATTCTATCATTTTAGATTGTATTTTTTGTGTTGGTTTCGAATATGTTCAAAATTATTTAAATTGTATGATTTTAGTTGGATTGTTAATTTTAGAACAATATGTGACATATATACATGTATAAATATTATACTATGAATCATTTTTAAAATTTAGGGATTAACCCGCGGTACACCGCATAATCATAAATACATGATTTTAACTTGGACCTTTCATGAAGTTTTGTAAAGTTGCAAATCTCTAGAATAAACAAATAAAGGCCAATGATTTCTTATTTCTTATCGTGTTAAAATGTAAAATCTGTGTTTATGTTACAATTTTCTGGTAGCAGAAACTTATTTATATAGATAATATTTTCTTAGAGTTAGGTTAGCGTTGAAGAAAATATTAGCTTTATAATCAAGCCAGAAATTCGAAACTATTGCCAAATAAATATATTAAAGATGGTTGAAAATAAATTATCCCGTAATTGGTGTGAAAATCATAGTTAATATAGGAGAAAACTATACATCTATATATTAATATAAGATATTTAAGGAAGATTTTGTTTTAAAATATTATGGATAATTTGATAATTATTTTATATTTCTGATTTTTAGGTTAATTTGTTAAACCAATATACAAAATCATACATTAATGTATTTTCCTTAAACAAATTAAGATTAATGTACTTTCCAAAACCAATATTGATGGATTAATTTGGTAGATTTCGAAATAATATATATGGAAACTGGTATTTAATATCTTTAAATTTTTAGTAAGATACAATTGAAAAATTTCGGGTTAATTTTTTTAAAAAACCCGACACAAGAAGCTTTTGTACTTCTCTTTTACTATAGTAGGGATATAAAAGTCCAATTAACAAGGAAGATACAGTGACGTGGAAATGTCGCAGTTAGCCACAATTTATGAAACTTACCTTTAACACTAAATAAGTAAATAAGACTGGTAATGTGACCAAGACAAGACCAAAATGTGAATCCTAATTACAAAACCAAATCTTCTAATTGATCAAGTAAACCAGGAAAAAACACTAAACCGGAATCAGGTAAAAAGGTTACGTCACCGTATCTTTCTTCCCATATTAGCCAACAAAAATCTTAAAAACCCCAAAAGTGTAAAGCAATCTCTCTTCTCTCTATCATTCTTTCTTCTAGATAATAATGAGTGAGTCTAATCGGGTACCCAAGTCCATGACCCGACCCGTCGGAGGAACCGAATACAGCTGGTGCAGAGCGATTGATGGCGGCACAGGCATCGCCGTCATAGCTCTCTTACTTTCCCGAACACCAAAACTCCAAAATCTTCAAAACACCCTCGACAAACTCCAGATTTACCATCCTACCCTCCGTTCCACCCTCCGTTACGACGCATCCGCCAACTCCTTCTCCTTCTTCGTCGCCGACGATTCCCGCGTCGTAATCCATCCCTTCGATTCCCAATCCACGGCTCAGATCATCCGAGACAGCGACGATCCACGCGCTGATCCACACAGGATCATCCTAGAACACGAGCTTAACAAAAACACGTGGATCGATCCACACAGTTGGATCAACTCCGAGTCCGCCGTGTTCATCGTCAGCCTCTACAATCTGACCGACGACGGAGAGCAACGGGTACTCACATTTCGGTTAAACACGGGGGCGTGCGATCGAACTGCTGCTGTTACGCTCCTGAGAGAGTTTATGAAAGAGACGGCGGCCGATGGTTGCGGAAACGGTCCAGTGGCGGCGGAGGAGGGGTTGGGTAAGGCGATAGAGGAGCTGATCCCGAGTGGGAAAGGGAATAAACCGTTCTGGGCGCGTGGGATCGACGTGCTTGGTTACTCGCTGAACGCGTTTCGGTTCTCGAATTTGAATTTCGTGGACGCCGACGATTCGAACCGGAGATCTCAAGTGGTGAGGCTGAGACTGGAAAGAGATCAGACTCTCAAACTTGTGGCTGTAAGTGACTGACTCCTCTCACCACTCTGTTTTTATTATTTCCGAATTATGTGCTAATTGCTATTATTATTGCGTGTTATAACTAATATTAGTGTAAAAAATTAAAATTTATTATATTTGTCTCCATTCTTGTGTATTATATAAGAATAATATCACTGGAGGAATTTATTTAATTTTATTACATTATGTTGGTTAGTAATTTATATGACAATGTAATATTTGATATGAATGGATACTTAAGACAATCACTCGTGTGTCATCAGAACTACTACATATGCATACATTTGATTTGTAACACAAAAGGACTAATAAAAGATCTTGGATTGTGCTATAGCCTTAGATTGTTTCTGAAAATTTTGTTTCGAAATGTAGGGATGCAAGGCAAGAGGGATAAAGCTATGGGCGGCATTAGCGTCATCGGGGCTTATAGCTGCGTATTCCTCGAAGAAACTACCACCATACCAAGGAGAGAAGTATGCCGTCGTGACTCTTTCGGACTGTCGTTCCATTCTTGATCCTCCTCTTACTTCAAATGACTTTGGTAAGTATATGAAAATTTTGGATTCCAATAATGAGTGATGCTATCTCTCTCATGGTTGCAACATATTTTCCGTGAGCTAATGATTATACGGTTCAATATTGCGGGTTCACTAAGCTTTGAAACTCAGATAGGCAATCACAGTTTTCTTAGCTTTTGCTAGACATGTTACTCGTTATGCAAACAAGGGACAATACAGTTTGATTTGGATGTTGTTGTATTGATCTAATGATTCCTATTTCATGTTTTTGTTATCAGGTTTCTACCATGCAGGGATTCTTCACACACACGACATAACCGGAGAAGAAACGCTATGGGACCTAGCCAAGAGATGCTACGACTCATTCACATCCGCAAAGAATTCGAACAAGCACTTCACGGATATGTCTGATCTCAATTTCTTAATGTGCAAGGCCATAGAGAATCCTAATCTCACGCCATCCTCGTCTCTTAGAACCGCTTTCATCTCCATATTCGAAGATCCTGTCATCGACGAGTCTCCAGAACCTGAATTGGCTTCTCTTGGGGTGCAAGACTACATAGGGTGTGCGTCTATCCACGGGGTTGGACCATCTGTTGCGGTTTTCGACGCGCTTAGAGACGGAAAATTAGACTGTGCGTTTGTGTATCCTTCGCCGTTGCATTCGAGAGAGCAAATGGATGGACTGATTCAACATATGAAAACTATTCTTTTGGAAGGATCAGTTTCTTCCTTTTGATTCCATGTTTGACAGTCAAAACTCTCTTTTGTCAGAGGCATAGACCGTCTCTGTAAAAAAAAGATAGTCAAAATAAATTTACTTCATATTCTCCTCATAGGTCTTCTGTAAACATCTACAATGACTAGAGTAGAGTACATTCCAAAACTAATCATCTTGAAAGAAAAAGAAAAAACATGTTGGTTGATATGTCATATACGATTATTGTTCAAAAAATATAAGTTTAATTCAACCATCCAATATCTTAGAAAAAGATATTGAACATTTTGATGTTAAAAGTAGGAATTTAGATTCATGAATATGATTAGGTGAACTGATGATCAAAAGTTAATATACTATTTTTATTTTAGTGGCGTCAGCAAATACTGCGGAAAATATAATTTGAAGAAGATAAGCTAAAAAAAGCTTATTGAATTGGCTGAAAGAACGAACCATAGCAATACAAAAACAAACCCCAAACTATTTTTAGAGGCACAAGGCTTAGCCACAAATTCCAAACTTACTTGCCTCATTTTTCAAGCTATCTTCGTTTTCGTTTTGAACACTAAAACATTATTTTTGTTGTAAAGAAAACAAACCAAATTTTTTTTAAAAAGCTTGAAGTGTGAAAAAATGGCAACGGATACAACAACATTTCCAGAAGGTGATGCAGAAGCTGAACTAAATCCTGGCCAAAACACGAGTTTCGAGGTAGATCCTGTTTCTTCAGAGATCGCTGCTGAAAAGGTATTATTCTTTTCATAGAATCTTAATATATAGTCAATTACACATACATGACAAGATTTGTGATATCCTTATTGATACAATTTAAAATGTTGAGTCTCTCAAGTAAAAACTTTTATCGCTTTTTCTTGTACACAAATTTATACGTGAATATGTATTTTTTTATATTTCTTAACTATGGGCTAAAAAATGGGGTTAAAGGTACAAAAAATCGTGGAAAAGAGGGAAAACGCAAAGGCAAAGAGAGGCGCGACACAAACGCTAAAAAAGACGATCATAATATCAGCGGTGATCGTGGCAGTCGCTGGAGCAGCTTTTGCTATAACCAAGAAATTGAAAGAGAATAAATGATTTCTTCACTACAATATTAATCCTCTTTAATATGTAACTTTTCTTCCTTACAAAAAACTAAGAAAACATAATTTATCCATAATTATATTTTTACTCTTTTGTGCTATGTAATTTCAAATTAAATAATGCAACTATATATTAATTTATAATCAAATAACGTTTTGAAATGATTATAAAACTATGTTGAAAGGGGTAATCCACTAATGCGTATTGAAAATAAAACAAACTAGATTTTAATCCGCGGTACACCGCGGGACGATATTGTAAAATATATTTTTTATTAATTTTGTTTCGTATATAAAAGTGTACTACTATATTTTAATTGTTAATTTTATGATTTAACCGTAAAATATTGTATGATAATTTATCATTTCTATAATCGTAATTTGATCAACTTAATTAAATAAGTATAATATTTAAAATAATGAAATGATGTTGACATAACATTTTCGTTGAAGAAGTATAATCTCATATTAAAAGATTTTGTGAGTTATACTATAATATACAACCCGTAAAAACATCTATAATCATAATTATGTAATTTATAACTTGTTCCATCACATGACCCGTACTACACAATTACCAATAATACTTTAATACATACATTTTATGTATCGATTAATATACGTCCGTTTTCAAAAATTCATATTGCAACATATGCGAACAAAAATTTGTATTTTTATTATACATATGTTATATGTAAAAATATAAATTTCAAAACAAATAAGATCATTTAAAGATATTTAAGAATTTTCAGTTTGTTAGGGAGATATTTTAGGAAATTTTGTTAAATGTAAAAAATACTGATTTCCAATTTTATAATTTTATTATGAATTAATTACAAAATTTTTTCTAAACTTTTGTTATTTAATCAAATGGCAAAGGTTTAATTATCCAAATATTACAAAATAAAAGGGTAGAACACAAAAGGTACTTCAAAAATGTTAATATAGACGTAAAAACATCTATAATCATAATTATGTAATTTATAACTTGTTCCATCACATGACCCGTACTACACAATTACCAATAATACTTTAATACATACATTTTATGTATCGATTAATATACGTCCGTTTTCAAAAATTCATATTGCAACATATGCGAACAAAAATTTGTATTTTTATTATACATATGTTATATGTAAAAATATAAATTTGAAAACAAATAAGATCATTTAAAGATATTTAAGAATTTTCAGTTTGTTAGCGAGATATTTTAGGAAATTTTGTTAAATGTAAAAAATACTGATTTCCAATTTTATAATTTTATTATGAGTTAATTACAAAAATTTTTCTAAACTTTTGTTATTTAATCAAATGGCAAAGATTTAATTATCCAAATATTACAAAATAAAAGGGTAGAACACAAAAGGTATTTTAAAAATGTTAATATAGATTAAAATTTGTGGTCTCTGTGAAACTCAACGAGCCAAGATGAAGCCCAATAGGTTCAGTTCCTAGGCCCATACTTAATAGGCTAAAGCCCTTTTGCTTTTCTTCTTCCCATTGTTTTTGGCGCCATCTGTAGCTTTTCGCTTCCCGCCCAAAACTCTCCTCATAAACTCTTAATCACACAAGTCTCCGAGAAAGAGAGATATTTAGGGCTAAAGATCATTTGCAACTTCGACGAAACGATTCATCATCTTCTCCAATAAGGTAAAATCTTCTCAAGTCCTCTAATCTCAGAGATCTTTGGCGCAATTTTGTAGCTTTTATTTTTCGATTTTATCCTTCCATCTTTGATATGGAATTGAAATTATTGAATCGCTCTTGACTGGTTTGTAGATTAAAGAAAGATGGATACTTCAAGTCCTTCAGCTTTTGTGAACGGAGCTCTGTTGAGGCGATACATTGGTCAGAAGGTCAGAACTGTGATTCAAGTGATCGGTTCAGACACTGGTTCTGTCGTCGGGAAATCTACTGATGATCTTCAGATCGTTGTTAGGGGATCGTCTCCGCCTAATCCTCTTACTACTTACCTTGAGGTCATTGGAATCGCAGAGAGTGATAACTCCATTCGTGCTGAAACTTGGACCAATTTTGGCAACAGTTTTGGTAATTCCTTTGCATCATTAACCATAAAATAATTCAATTGGGGATTGAAATCTTAGTTCAATGAAGAAGACTATATCAGAAGAAGATCTTTGTTCTGTTTTTAATATTTGCTTGTTGTGTTTTGCTTTGCAGATCCGCAGAATTTCAATGAGCTATGTAAGCTAGCAAATGGGGAGTTCAAGCACATGTTTATCTAATGTTGTTGATGTTAGATTCTGATCATCCAAGTGATTCCATTAAAAACCCTTTTTGTAGATGCTTATGCCTTAATTATATCTATGTGATGTCTCAACACTTTCTGGTTCTAAGATTTGCTTTTTTTACTTTAGTCTATGTAAGAGCTTCTTAATCTATGTAACACCATTATCTATTACAAAGTAAGCTTCAATTGCTGTTTCTGTTAGTTTTTATACGGATTTGTTCATAACGAAGTATGAGGGACCAAAACACAAAAGAAAACACCATTATGTTCTGGAATAAGAACTGAATTAGCTTATAAAGACGCTTTCTTTTTCTTTTTAATAATCTTGGTTGAGAAAAAAGGTTTCTACCACCACAATATTGGTGTTGCTGGTTAGGCAAAATGTCTTGTTGAAACTGACAAGTAAATTTTTGGGCTGAGAGGAGAGGGAATTAAATACAAGTCTCAGTCCTGCTTCAATGCTTTTGTGATGAGTGACTTTGTAGCCATAATCCCGATGTAAGCCAATGTTGTGACTGTAATACCTGCAACAAGGACTGCATTGTCGTATGCTGAGTGCTGGACTGTGTACACACGTACCCTTATAGTGTCCCAGTTGCTTTCGGTCCACACTGGATCAACCATCCCCATAGAATCCGATGAGTTCTGGGGGAGAATTGTCCAAGCTCCATCATTATACTTCAATCGGGTTGAATAAGCTGGAACATACCTGCCAAAACCAGAACTTAATGTGTTATGGTTCAGACAACAAATTGAGTTAGGCTAGATACATCTCAGGGCAACGGAAAAAGCAAATGCTGATAGGTTCACTTCAAAGGTCAGTAAACCAAATATAGAGTAAACCAAATATAGACTCTCTCTCTCAAGTCTCAAATCTATAGAGGCTCCTGAAGCTAATTTAATAATTCCAAATGCCTACCAGACTTGAGATTTGCGTCAATTTAGGACATATGAAAGAACTTGAGCATGCAAACCTAAATGCGATTTCTAAGCGAACAGAGTTTACCTAGTTGTGGAGACAACACATGCTCCCTCCTTGTTGCTCTCAGCTTTAATGCACACTTCGTCGCTTTTGCTACAGACTCCTTTTGAACAAACTGAGGTTGTGTTTCCTTTTTGGACAGAAGTTTTATCCGCCAGAAAGTTCCACAGGAATCTAGAGACATCACCAACGTAACCAAGGTAGGGTTTGGAGGAAGGTTCTCCGAGGATGACGCCAGCATAGTTGCCTGGGCAAGTGTTTGTTGGTGAAATATAGTCTTTTACCAAGTTGCAAGATAATCCTGGTTCACAAGCTAACAGACAGGTTAGGAGCTCTTCAACAAAAGAAGCATTGACATGAATGGATCCCAGAGCTGAATTGCTTGTATCTTTGTTGTCACTTGCAAGGATGTAAAGTGTGCGAGCCACAACAGAAGCAGCAGCTACTACAGACGAGGAGTTGATATTTGCTGCAATAGAATACCACAAAGCAATCAAAAAGTGCAAAATGGGTTTTGCAGCGAATTGAAGAGAAATACAGGATGTGACTCTTCTTACACAAGTCATCGAGGTGACTATGATAGAACTTATTCACAAATTTGGTATCAAAGTCTTCAAGTACAACAGCTGAAGTCTGAGGGTTCTGCAACAATGAATATGATGTTATACCTTTTCACTTTAGGCAATCTGATTCAGAATCACATAACAGTAAGCAAGTATACTTCTTCTGTCATATTCATGATCAACTGAAGGTGAAGTATATCAGTATATGTAAAAGTTACTTCTCTTTCAAAGTCAGAATACACATTTGAATTGTCTATCCATCTATTTTACTTGGAATATATATTGTACCTTTTTCATGAAAGCCATCAAAGAGGATGGGGGTATTCCAGGGTTTGCACTATCAGCTGAAAGAATTTTTATTTTCATTGATGCAAGTGAATCCTGAGCTATCTTTAAAGCATCCACTGTCATATTTGTAACTGAAGAAACCTAGAGCAGATCACCAAAAGTGGAGGTTAATTCGCCTATGACAGTTTTCACATTATCGAACAAATTATGTAAGAGTTTCAGGAATTTCTCACCCTAGTTTTATGAGCAAAGAAGGTGTTCACCCCTCCACTTAAACCTTTCCCAACAGATCCTAATTCAAGCACCTGTTAGATAATAAAAAATAGCGATTTGAATTTGATCTTTAGATTAGAAAATTGTCAACCTTCCAGTTCACAACACTAGCTAAGCAATAAACATGCTTTCTGCACTACTAAGGAACAAATAAGCTGCAGTAAATCACATGCAAATTGTTTCCACAAAGGATTTCATGCACATGACTAGCTGAGTCTACCAACTTTTTCAGATTAAAACCTATAAAGATTACCGTTTCAATCGAAGTATCAGTAAGGCCTGCAACAGCATCTGAATGCAGATCTAATTCGTGTAAGAACCTCCTGCTTCCAAGGTAACCCCACGTCTCTCCAGTCAGAACCAAAAACACAAGCTGCATTCGTTTAGGATATACATGTAAAGCTATAAGAGCCAAAATACAGCAGAGCGCAAGATATACCTCTGGTATTAAAGCTTGCAAACAACAAAACGCGTGAAATATAACAAAATCACATGGTAGAAACTGAATAGATTAAGCAATTATATAACTCCACTGGTACCTGCTTTTTCAGATTATCAAAACCATCAACTCGAGAAAGAGCATCAACTGCTCCCAGAAGAGCCACCAGACCCTGAAAGAAAGAGAACGCATTGGGCAATGAATCAAGAAAGAGGAATAACAAGAGTAAATAAATGTATTCTAGATCAACCCAAAAGCAGAAAACAGCGAGATCTCACAGATATTGGTGAATCTGCACCAAAACTTTTGTCACGGAAAAATGATGCAGAGTCCATGGAGGCCACAGTTAGCACAATTGGTTTGCGCTTGTTGGAAGAAGAAACGCTGATTGGTGGAAGCGAGGACCAAACGCTGTCCTTCATAACAAGGTCATTAGAAAAACCAAAAGTATCCTTGAAAAGATTTTCATATGCTTGAAATCACAGTAAAAAGAAACTTAAACCTCCAAACTTTTACCTATATCCGCCCAATGGGAGACAGGTTCCTTCCTGCAAACAAGCCTCCGAATTGTGTGTTCCAGCTTTAGTAGTCTAATACGAAATAAAGAGAAGGCGGTGTCATAATCTAAGTCAAACTGAAGATCCATAAAGCTGGATAATATTCCAGTGAGCTAGATTGCTAAATTCAAATACCTCCATAACCATATTGAATTCAGCAACATCAGTGGTGTATGTTTCATGCTTCATCTTCTTCTTGGAAAGGATCTGCAAAAATATTTTAGGATGTAATATACAGTAACAACCTGAAAAAAGTGACGCTATCCACATAACTATAGACATTTAGATTGCTATTAACACAGCAGAAACCTATAAAGCCAGCTTCTTGACAGAACCTCATCTGGTAGAACAACAACATATTATCTAATGACATAGTCGACAAATGCCACCACCACAAGATAAATGGAAAGGCAATGGTTGAGTCCAATTGCAGGCTATGGAAAGCAAAAAATATGCATTTAAAATCTACAAATGCAGCTGTGTCTCGCTTTCAACTGGATGAGACAAACATTCCAGGAGAAAATTTGTACTCCTAATTAAAAATGGGTAATCCATGGATATTTTTTTGCAGACAAATTCAGTTTAAACGAGGAGTAATCATTTCATATGATTTCAACGAAACAGATCTCATGCACTATTTTACAGTCATATTTTCATCAAGCATTACTGGTCTTAAGATTGTGACAAACAGTCATAATGCCTCTCTCTAAGTTTTTAGTTCATTTCTTCATAATCTAAAAAGGCTATCAATTTAGTTTTTCTGACAAAACAAATAGAAACATTTAAAATCTGCAAAAGAATGCAAGTTTGAAGGTTTTACCTCCTGCACAGCTGATATGCCACTTTCTGACAATAAATACACAGGAAAGTTATAATTTTTCCACATTATGCTTGATGCCTGCAAATAATCGTTTGTAACAATGGTCAATGGCTAGAGATTTATCTCCTCCACCTACTCATAAGAATTATAATCATTTTTTCTTCCATTGAAAAACAATAAGAGAAACTATCATTTAACGTGGTTAAATATGCAACTTATTTATGAACTCCTTTATAAGTGATAATCTGGACAGATACATGTATTCCTCTTGTAAAAAATATACCAAAAATAAACAATATGAAAAGAATCTATGGTGTTTGTGAGTTAACAGAGAGTTAAGTATAATTACAGAAGAAAACAGGATATAACTCAGAAATGGATTTGGTGATACATCCTGAGTTATATCCTATTAGAAAAATTTCCAACCCACTAAAAACGCATTCACAGGAAAAAGTAACTTCAAAGATTCAGACAGAGTTTATGAAACCGTACAGCTGAATTCCATTTGTAGTCAACGTTTTCATAGGGTGAAAACTGCGCTTGAGGAAACTTTTTATCAGGAGAAAAGCCTACAAAAAAAGAGAGAGGAAAACTGGTGCCATGAATATAGATAAAAGTATCAAGTACTGTGTTCCAGGGACTTAAGAAAAAAAATCAATACTGTATATAAGGAAACATCCATTCACGTTGACAGATCGTAGTACCTGTTAACTTGTGTTGGAAACTAGATCCTGATTCAACTAGAACACCACCAATTTTGCTAGCAAAGCTCACATCACTCGACACCCTGGAAAGGGCACAAAGAAGAGCGATCCTGTGTCATGTCTATCTGAATAGAGTGTCTAAGTGATGTACATGTCTAGTGAGCAATACCAGAAGTAAGCCAGACTGCAGGATTTTACTGTAAAGTGCTTCGGGTATACCCACTTTTAATTTGTCAAATGAAGTTACAGCAAAAAAGACAAAAAAATCCAATGAATTACAGGTAGAGTTCTACTGAATACCTAATCCATTCCTGAGGCACTGATAACCAAGTGACTAATGTGTAACAAAATTAAAAAATGTTAATAAGATGGTATAATCATTCTAATCTGTCGTTTCACTCTCATGGAGCAAACGAAGAAAACGAAAAGTGTTTGCCTAAAATACTAAAGTAAAGTCTAAATGAACTCGCAACCTTATATATACGTTATTTTTTAAGAATGTAAGAGACTTTCAAAAATGGCTGATTTGGCGAACATCACAAGCTAAATCTTGTTTGACGTTAAGTAAATACCAAAATGAGAACTACACCTATGTCATGCATAGGTATATGCTGCTTAGCGAGGGGGGGAAAGACACACTACTCCATAAGATAAAAGGATATTACTATAATAGAATAGAGGTCATGGAAATTCTCTAAATGACAAATGAGACATGCCTGGTAAAGAAATCTTCCATTTCATCAGCTGTCACCAAAATAGTGTGTTGCTGATCTGAATCTTTAATGTCCTTTAATTTTATGATTGGAGCTACCACTTTATTCAATCCAGGATCTGAGTAATTTATAAACATAAACATTAAGGAAACTAATCGACTAAATAACAATCAGTTAAGACAGACCCAAAAGAAGCTTACTTGAACAGCCAATCTCTCCAGAAAGATTGAGAAGGCGTACACAAGGATACCCATCAACAGCAACGTACATCAGCTTCTGAAGGTCGGGAACAGATTCAATAGATGTTATCTCACCTACACAAAAAGCGGGAAACCGTAAACACAAAATATGGAAATCTTGGCATAGTTGGGTCAGCAAACAGTGATCATATAGAGCAAAGTGATAATCTAGAGTGGACAAAGAGACCCCAATGAATCAAATAACAAACCAATCATTCCAAGATGGACTAAAAGTAAAATATTCTATCGAAATCAACAGAAGATGAGACAATCAACGAAAATCACCAGCGAGAGAGACATGAAGAGGAAGGATTGAAACTAGAAGAAGAGCAAAAGCAATAGCAACAAGACGAGTGAGTCCCATAGCCATAGCTGCCGCCGAACGGTTGCAATCAGCGGAAGCGCTACCTGGAAACCATAGCTGCAGATACGATCAGAAATGTGAACAATTTTAATAAGAGATAAAACGTTACACACCCAGAAGCATCAGGTAGAGAAAAACAGTACCTGAGAAACGAAAAAGAGGGGAATTGAGAGAGAGAGAGAGCTCCGATTCGCCGGAGAAAAGAAACCTAGCTGGGAATTAGACGGTGAGAGTTAAGAGAGAGTCAAAGACTGAGAATGTTGCAACTAGTCGATTCATATAGACTTCGTTCCACTATCTTATGTGATTCGACTTCAAAACTCCCCTTAAACTAAGGAAATGAGGTACTCCTATTTTGTGCAGATTTTAATTTATTAAAAATAATTAAAATATTTATTTACATTGAACATTTTTTTTTTTTTGGGTAGAGAACTCTTTTATGTCAAATTATCTATTTAGGGTATGAATAGTTACAATGGTTCTAGCGGACAAAACCATCTACGGAA